CCATATGTATTCACAATAGAATATTCGTACGATAACAAATGATTATTATGTATTCAAATATGTTGTTTGTAATTTGAAACAAAACATTTATATACTTACTTTCTAATTTATAAGATTTTCATCTTATTTGTATAATAAGAGCAGAAATATCTCGTTGACTCGTTTGAAATGATGGTAAAAGAGCGAATTTTTTTTTCAGAACCATCTTCCTCCTTCTTTTCTCTCTCTTCCTCTCTCTCTCTCTCTCTCTCTCTCTCTATTTATCCATTTTCTCTCTCTATCTATAGAAAGCTGTAATAAACCGGGAATAGACGTAATAAGTTGAACGTGCGACGGTACAACAGTTAGCTACAAATTGCGCGTGGCACAATGGCGTTGTTAACGCCCGAGTACCTCATTATGATCGCGAAAAAAAGCTGTCGATTGCAAGCATCAGACTTGTTTAACGAAAGTACACGGGACGATATCGCGGAGTTTTTTACTTTTTGATTTTTCACAACACAAGCGTCCTACATTATTTTCCGATTTTATTTTCAGAATTGATATGTAAACTGCTTGATAATGACACTTGTATATAATGATCAGATTGCACGTGGAGTAAGAGATTAAACAAATACTGTTATTTAGATTTTTTAATTATCTTTATAATTATATATTTTACATCTTACTTGTGTTATTAAAATAATTATTAAAATTAGAAAAAAAATGTTACTATATTGCGTTGAATAGCTTTGTATAGTAATTGCGCCTTTCTGTTTTGTATTTTATACCTTCATTACTTTTTACTTTTAAATTTCAACGAATAAATTGAAAAGTTCTTATTATATCGTTCATAAGCAGCACTCGCAATTTTGAAAGAGGAATTATGAAAGGAGCGCTAAATTATTTTCCATAAAGTGCTTTTGTGCAGCGCCCTGCATTTTACAATGTTTGCACTTCTTTGGATCGTTTCAGCTTGCATGTTTATTTGAGAGGCACACTACCGCTACGCCATTATTTTTAGACGAAGGGAGAAACGAACACGTTTTGCTCATTGAAAGTGATACAATCTCGGAAAATAACAGATGTCTCCTCGAGTGCTTGACAAAGAAAGCGCTCGCGTACCTCGGAGATTTCGTGAAAAGCCCTTTGTCGTGTCAGAAGCGCCGGAGGCAGGAGCAAAAAAAGACAGGGCACAGAAAAATCTTAATCTCAATTATTTACTAATTTCTATGTTTTCCCTCTTGCGGTTATTTTGTTATTTCATTTCTGTATATTTTCATAAATGCATAGAAAAAAATTTGAATATGCGTATAATTGATTTTATAATTATGTCTACATAATATTTTAATATATATACTTATTTTTCAAAATTTCTATCTCTGTATATAACATCTTAGAGTGTTAATAATAAGAATTAAGATATTAATTTTAATAAATGGACGTTTTGACATATAGCACCATAAAATAATTAAGAGTTTGCATGTTTTCCTAAATAAAGTTCAATCATTACAAAATTACAATTTTTAAATATAAATTACACAAAAATTATTAAAATTGTAAAATTATAATTTTATATTTACAAAAATGTGAATAAATTCAATGAATGTTTACTGATGTTTATATAAAATACGCATATGAAGTTAGAGAATTAAAAACGATTAACTTGCGTATCCGATTCAAATTAACGCAACGTAGCGAGTACGCGTTTGCAGTTTACTGCCGACGTCCTAATTGGCGCAAATTAATGCATCGTGCTTAAACTTCCGCCTTTCGCGCTCGACGGGATGCAGGTCGCCTGCGAGATATTCCGCTTTTGTGTGCGGAGAAGGTAGCGCACCGGGAGTCGTGTCGTTTCAACGAGACTAAACGCAACTCGTTCCTCCGTCGCTCCGGCTGTCCGGATAGTTCTGAGGCAGTAATTTTGTTGGCGTTTCATCTCACGTCTTGCTAAATGAAAATCCTCAAGTGTCCGCGTGAAGTGATCCACTGTTCTTACATCATTTTCGCATACATTTTACCAATTAAGAATGAAAAAAATCGCGTGCTGTGCTTGTCGTTACTTTTGTTCTCAAAATTTCATTAATGCAGAAGAGTGTGAAGAATTTATACACAATAATGGAACGTTTGCGCAAAAACTCATTAGGTACCACTGCGTGTCAGAAATGACGAAACGACAAAGCTTATACAGAAATCATAAATTATATTTTGCTACACGCGTATATAACGAACCAAAGAAGAAACGTTTTATAATACGTATTTATTTGCCTCTATGCGTAATCATCTATTTTAAGTTTTTTTTTAATCAAGTAACATATAGATTGCCACCATTGCCAGGGAAATATTTGAACAACGTCAAGTATGCAATATATGCAACATCAACGATTAAATTATTTATCTCTCCGTCAGTCGCGCGAAACCGCGTTTTGACAGCGTAGATCCAATCGAGATCTCTCGACGACGTAAATGTACGAGTTTTCTTTCACTTTTCTCTCTCTCTCTCTCTCTGTCCTCTCTCTCTCCTCTCTCTTTCTCGCTCTCCTGAGACGCAAAAGTCTGGAGAGCGAGTCGCGAGGAGATGCGGAATGATCTCTCGCGGTCGGGCACGTTTAACGACCCTCGGCTCGCCGCTTTACAGCTTGCACTTTTCAATCCAGCCGCGCGCGAGTATTGATGTCCCCCGCTTTGCCGTCGGACGTCGTGACGTTACCGCGACCGAGCTTGAAAAGAGCTAATGATCTACGAGCCGAATGACAATTAACGCTCGTCCCGACGCGCGCCGCCGTGCGATGATTAACCGTGATGAGACGAGGGGCACGCCGGAATGCATATAGATGCGCTTCTTTAGATTTCTTGATAGTCAGGATCGCCTCCGAGGTATTAGAAAAATTGTTTGGTGATGCGACCAGGAGACTTCTCGTTAAGATGTAAAGTTAATTTTGATGAGATTTCCCCCGGAAAATATAATAAATAATTCTACTGTTAAATCATAGGTATTAATTTTTTTAGTTTACAAAGTATAGCGTTTAATTAGCGGAAGCTTTTGACAAACTTTTGTCAGATAGAAAAGCACACGCGTAAAGTAGCGCACTCATTTTTTATGTACATACATATAACGTAATCTTCCGGGTGTACAAGAAGTTTAAAAATAGAATGTTATCGTTGAGTTTATTTCAAAGTCAACATTTTTTAGGGCAAAATAGTACTGCATGTTTACTTTTCGCGAACACAGTGATTTATTGTTATTGAATACGAAATAATACGCAAAATATCTAAATTTATCTATATCTAAATTTATTCGTATTTGTTAAATCATTTTTGCAATTGCATCGCAGACGAGAATGAAAAAAAGACGTTGGCTAATATTAAAAAAAAAATATATACATATATTTTGTTTTTAATAGTCTTGATTTTCTGATTATATCTCGGTTTTTTAACAATATTAAAATAGAACTTCTTGCAACAAACTTGTACATATATTATACATAATTTTCGCTAAACGTGCTTTTGCAGTGTACGAAATAATACGAACAAAATTTATGCGAAACGTAATCAGGCTTGGAAAAATTTGGAAATTTACCACCGACACGGCAATGTTTATTATTTGCCCGGACGCTATTTATTTTTTGGCGCACTTTGAAATTTGCTTTTGGCGAACCAGTTTCGACGGTGCCAATATTTGCTGCGCTTCGCGGGCGATAATCCCCCGAATTATGTTCTTTGAAGCCGCGTTATTTACGCGCGCAGAAGAGCGTGTGCGCGACGTGCGCTGCATCACGGAAAGGGTGCAGGGATCAATTGCGTTTTCGTAAATTACCGTGAATTTATAAAATCATTGTATATGTAAAATTATTTCAGCCGGTTTACACGCAGGCTTAACTAATCTTTGATACTGCTCGCTGCTCGCCGTCGGCTACGCAAACCGCCGCCGCCGTTACCGCCGTCGGCCGACGAGGCTTTTTCCACAGCGTATCGCCGAGCAAAAATTTTGCAATACGATTAAGAACAGCGCCAAATTGCAAATCGAAACGCGCCCGCGTTTGTTAATAATCCATGCTCTCGATACGTTACGTTGTTACGTCCGAAATTGGTTTTTGATCGCGCTCACGCGCTAAATAATCATCGCGCCGCGATATATTCCCGCGAGAGTTACGGCATTATCGACGATATTATCCAGCTCCGATAATACGGTATCCGCGTTATAGCATGTTATACGAATTTTAACATGTTTACGAACATGTGCTTTTTTTTTAGAACAACAATGGTGAAATTTCATCACTCTCTTTCAACACTCTCTGTTTTTGTTTTAAAAGAATACAATTAATATTCTTTACTTCTTGATTATAAAAAAAGAGTTTTGAAATGTTATATTTATTCATTTAGATGTACATTTTTTTTATTTCATATTACACATATATATTATATTATTTCAACAGAAAAAATGCAAATCTTTTTAGTTTTCAAATTCGAAAAACTTAAAAGTGTATTTGTAAGTAACTCTAAAATTAAGTATTATAAAATTGAAGAAAATTTACTTGTGGTAAATATACACCGATAAACATTATTACTTTTATATTTATTATATTATAAATTGCATAATTATATCTATATATTCAAAAAGGTTTCAATTTTCTCGTGTCATCTCCATATTTTCGAGTAAAATACAATTTTTTTCTTTATTACGTCTTAAAGATGTTTCTTTTCTCAAAAGTCTTAAAGAAAAAAACGGCGAATTTTCTGAGAGCAAATCGTACGACAGTAACTTGAACGCGCCATTCTGAATGATTTTAGCACTGTGTTAGCGTGGCCGGAGGTGGCGGCGGCGGAGACGGCGGCGGCGGCGGTGGCGGAGGCGGCAGTGGTACAGTCGGCAGCAGTCGGCTGAGTCTGCACCTTCGTCCTTGCGGAGGTGGCGGTGGAGGTGGCATCGCCGAAAGTGACAGCGCTCCGGATTACCCGCCGAGCGCTGCGGCAGCGCGGAGCAGGGAGGCGGCGGCGGCGGCGCTGCACGCGGCAAGAACCCTGTTGGGCGCGGGGGTGGCTAACCCTTGCTCGCCCACCCCCGAGCCGCCTTTCTGGAAGATGCCGCATAAAGGTCGGTCAAATCAATTTACTTAATTTGTGCGAGCAAGCGCGAGAAAACGGGGTGTTTGACAATTGATCGGAACATTATTGACAGCAGATTACAAACAGTCGCAAATCTAGTTTTTCGTCAGTTTTTTTTAACGAAATAAATGATTTAGGTGTATTCGCAGTTTTCATAGGAAAGTCGTGAGTTTCGCGATGAGTTACAACGAAAAAAGGGGCGAGTAAATACGCGTATGCTTATAGGCTTAGGTGGTCTCGCGGTTGCTCCCGGGGGTTATTCGGTAACTTGACACGCCTTTGGCTGGCTTCTGCCGGGCCAGCGGCCCCTTCGTCAACAACTTCTCTGAAGCAAAGGGTATAAAGTTCGCTTGCACCTCAAAAAATTCGTTCGCGCGATCCCAGTGCTGCTCTACACTCGGCGACAATCGGTTAGACCTGCTGGAAAACCTCCCCTTTCTTCGTGTTCTCGACAATAAGCGAGGGCGCTTACACCGCCAATTTGTCTTGATGCAACGTAATCTTTCTCCCGGTCGGGGTTGCCTATACGTCGCACGAGAATGGAGACGCGGGATCGCGTTACGCGGTTATGGCTCACGCGAGATCATAATGGGACTTGTAGGAGGGTAAGTGCCTTCCCCTTTTCTCCTTCCTCTTTGTCACTCTTTCCATCGGTCCCCTGCCCGAGGTATTCGTACAAGGCGGACAATGCTCGCGTGGCACGCGCGCGAGCGCGCGCCCCTCTTTCATCCATCCAACTACCAATCTATGTCCTACTCTCGCGCTCGTTTTCCTTTCTTCGTGCATTTGTGTGTTACATGTGTATGTATGTAAGAAAGAACGAGCTCTCTCCCTCTTACGTACTTCGGTTCTCCATAAAATCCCCGATAGCTATTCGAATCAAATGTCCGATTTACGAAGAGAAGAGCGCTTTATTTCGCTCTCGTTACTATCCGAGATTTGTTAATGGTTATGGGTCCCGAAAACGTGTTGGTTACGGGTTCTGGATTGCAGCGTATCTCGCGCGTGCCAGGACTCGGCGAGGCTACGGAGATTACCTGCCTTCGCCTCTCCAAGGAGGTAATAAATGTCGACGGTGCAGGATTATCTCCGAGACCAATCAATAGACGACTCCGCAATACGTCCGCGATGCTCGCCAATAACTTTTGCCCTTATTTTTGTAGAGGTACATATATACAAAGAGAGAGCGAGAGAAAGAGAGAGAGAGAGAGAAGAGAAAGATTCGGAATCAATTCGTTTGGTTTGCGCCATTATGAAATGAATACTGTACAAATTGTTGAGTTAAGAGAGCATACCATACTTCGAGATGCTTTGTATGTAGGATAAAGCCGGGTAAGATGGCCACAGTTTTCTTTAAATGCAAAAAGTAGACCTTAATTTTTGTTATTTTTTAATATTGCTTTTTTATTTTACCTCACTGAAGCTTAAAGTAATAATAACTATCGAAATTATATGTAATTTAAAAAAAAAAATGGGCCATCTTTCCCGAAGTGTGAGAAAAAGATAACATAGTATTTATAAATAAATAATGAAAATGAAAATAAAAATTATTGCTTACATTATAATTTATGTGCCTTTATCATGTATGTAATATTGATTACGGCAGTTTAACTGTAATTTATTCGACGTTACAGCAGCTTTTAGCGGACATACGTAAAACTTTGCAGGCAATCGAAAGTAAAAACATTTATATAATTTTCACAATATTGTTATTTTAAATAGTGTACGCACATAAACTACTGTAAATACTGATTATCTTTAAGAATGGTTACAAAATTGCACTATTAAACAATTATTGGTGAAATTACAGTCTATGGCTATCTTTTCCGTATGGCCATAATACCCTCATTTACCCTATATAGTCATTAACGAACTCCTTCGTAAAATATTGCGTTAACAATCGTCAGAAAAATGATATTGCACGAAGATAAGTAGTTCATGAATAAACAAATCAGAAAAATTCATGTTATCAGAAAAATTCATCGTTATCTTCACGTAAAATGAAAATAATAATCGGAGTCAAAAAATTTTTCTTTTACTCTGAAAATGTGTCAACTAACTTCTAAAAATATCTCAAGCCTATTATATGTATAATCTGAGATATTCTATATCTGTATATTTGAAACAAAATCACTTTCATGACATATTTCAAAGATCTTCTTTTGCGATAACAATTTAGTTTGCACAGTGAAACGTTTTAGGAATCAAGCTTTTCCGGTTCGTTATAAACTTACTGATGCAAGATTTATTTAATTGCTACGACGTTGTGGATTATCGCGTTATTCGTATTCTGACGGAAGACATCTTGTTATCGTTGAATAGTAACGAGCGCGATTGTACGATTATCAACCCCGCGGCCATAAGTTCGGTATTTACCCGCGAAAAGCCGCGGAGAAGGCGCGAGCTGTCTTACACACGGTGTCAATAATAACGGGCACGGGTAATGAGTGTGCGTTGTCGGAGATGGCGGCTGCTAATACTGTGCGCCGCCGCTTCTTAACACCGTCCGTAATGAATTCGTCGTCACTGGGGAAGCTCGCGTCTCTCGTCCTTACCGCGTTTCAACTCATTAGAAGAGCGTATGCCTGGCACGCCATCTTTAATGTCGCTGAAGGGCGCTCACTAGATGAACCTCTATCTTCATCCTCTCCTCCTCCTCTCTCTCGCTCTTTCCGCACTGAATTTATCACGAAAACGCTTGGAGGCTGCGTCGCGAGTTTGCTCATCCTTCGAAATCTCTCAGCAACGTGATAATAACATTTAACCGGTGACACTCGACAAACGCGGTGACTCCCCGAAACGTCCCGACCACCCTTTACGCCGTTAACAGACCCGACTGTCGCCGGAAATAAGCGGGACTCGATCTTGTAAACGTTTACTGAGCGAATGTTGATGCTAAGACGACTTTGAAGTAAATATTGTAGCACCTCTGTTCCATTATATATGTATGAATTATTTAATAAATTTGTACATAAATATTTTTTGTTGCCACTATATTTCAATTTCTAATATAATAATATTTTATTTATTACGCAAGTTGCATATCGTTAAATATTAATTAATTCTGTGTTTGTTTCTCTCTGAACCGACTATAAAAAAAAAAAGGAAATTTTCCACTAGTATTGTAATTATATGGATATTCTGTAACTTTTTTTAATTAAAATATTTTTTTTTGTAATTAGATTCTATTTGCTTCCATTATTAGTAATCCCGAGAATTGCATGATACCTGCTACATTTTGTTAATGTAATCGGTGCATCATCAAGGCTAAATATGGCGCGCATAATTATGTTATTTACGCGCGACGCGATGGCGACAGGTGAAAGCAATTTGACCGCGAAAGCGATATTTTTTATGTATGTCGACGGATAAACAGCAGTTCGTTAAATGAATTCGGACCGACACACTCTGTAACTGATTACGTTCGGCCGGTTTCGAGTCGTAGCGCGAGACTAATTACCCGCAAACTATTATTACATCCCATTAAACAACTATTTCGCTGCAAACTTTCCGTCATCGTTGGAAATTGGAACGGCGTATTAGCCGCTTCGTCGAGCTGTTTTGTTTCTATTATCGGGTAACGATCAATCGTTCAACGAGTTTAACGTTGTCCGTCTAGGACATGTCACACGGTGACTCACAAAATCGATTAGGTGAGTTCTGAAAATCGCGAAACGTAATATCACTTTCTCGCATGTCTGTGATTTCTTTAGTTTTTACGTGCGCTTTGAAATGAAAGATTTCTACTCGAGAATTAATCTCTCAGCCGACTTTTCACTTCACTGTGAAGTACACTTTGCGAAAATTCCATTGAGAGTTCAATTACAAAGTCGACTCGCGTGAGACACTACATCGATTCACCGCGTCTGTTCGCGCATCTTAAATACCGGCGATCGCTTCCGCGCTTAAAGACCGCCTCCCGCGGAAGATTCGGGGGATGTTTGGCGAGGGCGGCAGAGGGTGGCTCGACCGAGCGGACCGAAGCGAACCGACAAACGGGAAGGGGGGCGGAGAAGGAGGTACGAGGGAGCGTCGGAGAGGGTGCCGCGACGTCGTGCGCCGGGGTTGCACAGGATGGGATTTAATCTGTGTCCCGTTTCACGCTCAGCCAAGTGGAACCTTTTTGCCTCACTTTGCGGCGCGACTCGCTTTTGCGCCGCACCGCCGCGTAGATTAACGCGAAATTATATATAAAGAATGTGTGCTGACGGGCGAGTGTGTGCACGGGTCGGACGATATTCGAGCCCTCTCGCCGACACCGTCCCCCTCTGTCTCGGGGGTGGTTGTTCCCTCCCCTTCGCCTTCTGCCGGAAAGTACGGCGTGAGACGAAAGACGGTGAGCGAAAGGGTGAATCTCGCGCGCGTGTACGTGTACAGCTAAGTCGTGCACACATGTCCCCTTTGTAACGAATTAAACTTGTGAAAAACAGCACAAACTCCCGTTGTGTCCCTTCAAAGGACGAGGCCGTCGTGACGCGTCCTCGCTTTGACCGCCGCTTATTTTTAACACACAACTTGTTCGACCGGAAAAATAAAGTAATTCGAATCGCGCCAAGTATATCTTTCGTGTGGAATCAGAGTTTTAAAAGCCACGTCATTTTATAAATATCTCTCGATGTAATAATATTAATTTAAATTAATTGTAATAACGATACATTTAAATATTGCTTTATCTTTAAAATATGTCGAATAGAGAGTAACAGTATAGTTTTTGCGATAATTACACATAGAAAGAGAAGAAGAGCATAAATAAACGAGATTGCTCACATAAAGATCAATTACGTATATTGTCTTAATTTTGTAATAGAAAAAAAAAAATCACATGATATCTTAGCGTGGAAATGTGACACTTGTGCGTCATATTTTCGTTCGTTCGAAAATTTGCATGTTCTTATTAATTCGAGTGAAGAATGAATATTCATTAGACCGTCACGAAAGTAGTTGCAAAGAATGTTGCTTGCTTTAATCAGAGTTTAAGAAAAATGTTCCCTTTAACGTTTCTTCATCTACTTCCCGCCGTGCGTGTAATTAAAGAGATTTTATGTTCACGAAGACGCGAAGGTGATTAACATGTCAATATTAATGAAGATTAATTTCTTTTGTACACACGATCACCAGTCTATCATTCTTGACAAATCATCACGACATGATAATTTGGATTTTTTTAAATTTGTCTACGCGTTTGTTAAAATTATAGTGAAATGTCTTCTAATGTAGTTTCTTTTTATTTTGCTTCCGCTATAAAAAATAAAATATTGAATACATCAGTTGCAAAATCGCGTTCTAAAATGAGTCACATAATTTTTCTTCTCGTACTCGCAAATCGCAGAATTCGAAATTGATGCCGCGAGCGAAGAGAGGAAAAAAAGCACCTACTCGAAAATTTCTGTGACGCGTTGCCGCGGGATTATTTGTAACAAGACTCTCGACTCCAATTTCTCGCTTCTCGTTCTCTCAACTGCGACATTCCATCCCCGTTATTTCTTTCACCGCGCTTGGAGCTTGGTTAAACACACTCCTGTTATACATTAGAGTGGTTGAAATCTCTTGCTATAGTCGCAGAATCGTAAACTAACGGATAGCTTCAGGTGAGAAAAACATCGCCAATCAGAGACAAGATCAACGTGAAAATTAAAATTGTACTTTTCTACAGATTGATATTTTAAAAACTTGCATAAATAATCTTGATTCAAAATAGTTTTTTTTATGGATTTGCTTAAAATGTTAGAGAGTATAAAAATATACGGGTTTTAAAATATAAAAATCGTTTTTAAAAGAAAACACTGCCTTACAAACTATAAAATTTTCTATGATTTAATTAGACTTTCACTACGAGATTATGTCTAATATTTGAAAAGATCAGAAAACATCATCTCTTCCTCTATCCTTGACGACTTTATACGGAATATGGAATCCGCGCACGAATGCGAGATTTTCGATGCCCTCTTGCACCTCTCGCGAAAACGAGGTACGACAGAAGTGGCGGAAGAACGGAAGAAGGCAAAATGAGAGGAAGAGACAGGCAGAAATACAGCGAGTGAGAAAACGTGTCGTTATGTAAAGTGGTTTCGCACAGAGCGTCGGAGAGATGCGGCGCGCGAGCTATTCAAGATTACATTCCAACTATTTCTTGTCGCTTTGCGTGGCGCAAAAGCGGGAATTAATTAAATTCGTTAATTGCAAGATGCATTTAGCAACGCTGGCACTTCTCGAGTCTCTCGTCGTCCGCGCCGTCACGACGTTCTCTAGTTGTAGGTACCTCTTTCCTTGCGTCAACGACATATCACAAAAATTGAATAAAATGATGCGAGAAGTCGAGAGAAAAGAGAGCTCACTTTTGCAATGTTGATATGTGTTGAAAAAAACAAAACCACTTTTGCCGAAGTTTAATGTCTGTATCAACAATGCATTTCATGCGCATAACTGTATTGTGAGCTTGATCGTGACTGTCACAATTTCTGAAGCTCGTTGTATGATAGGATTGAATTACACGATACGGCGTATCGCACACGACTATTCGTTATATCCTGTTATTGTCTCCTCGCGTCGCAATTACCGTCGTCGCCAATATCAGACGCATCTACCCGATATGTATTTCCGTTTCGGCGCTTTCTCCACGCGCGCGCGCGATGCCGCGATGCACGCAGGTGTAACGTGCTCGTAATAAGGTACACGGCAACGAATTAATCGACGCGCAAGGGTCAAACTGATCTTCGTTACGTGACGTTCGCAGCGCGGCGGAGCGTGTGATCGCGACGCAAACACTACCCTTGGTGTTCAATCTGACGCTTCGGATTCCGAACTCGACGGTTCTGCGGGCTAATTAGTCTAATAAGAACGCGTACGGCGCGCGCGTATTCTGCCTCTCTCTCTTCTCCCTCTCTCTCTCTCTCTCTCTCTCTCACCGGATGTTTACCAATCAGATGTTCTGGCGAAGTGACGTACAGTGTTGCGCGCGTTTTGATTCACAGAGGAGGACTTGATGCACGGGGGTGGCGCGGGTATTGGCGGGGGTTCTATGGTCGGACAGAACTCAATATTTGGGTGCTCGGCTGCAGGACACAGCGGGGTTAACCAGCTCGGCGGTGTTTACGTCAATGGCCGACCGCTGCCGGACTCCACAAGGCAGAAGATCGTCGAGCTGGCCCACAGCGGGGCCAGACCGTGCGACATATCGCGCATACTGCAGGTCAGCAACGGATGCGTCTCCAAGATCCTCGGCAGGTAAGCGCGCCGTCGCCGCGGATCGATCCCTATCGAAATCACGGATGAGCGCGTTTAGGAAATTAAACCGTTGCGCGATAGTTGAGAAGCAATGTAATCTGATCGTCATCTACTGGTAGATCCAATCAGTCAGCTTCGATGGTCACAAGGAGACAACTGTTGTGTTTCCTCGATGCACTTAGCGGCAAAGACACTCGATACATTTGTGACAAAATTAAAAAATTTTTTCTCGTCGCCTACTTGAATTTTTTTAATAGTTGCAGCGATTTTACAATATTAGAATACATAATACGTATACATGTCTATATAATTCCTTACTTGGTTATATTTAACTGATTATAACGTCATGACTCTTTCTAATTGAAGGGTATTAATAAAGTCAGCTTTTATCCGATGATATCCCTTCATAAGGTCTCTCACATTTTTTTCAATAACCATCACTTTTAAAAGGCTCACGATGACGTAACGTTGGCGCGCATCAAGCGAAAATAACGATCTCCCCTTTCGCAGGTATTACGAGACTGGCTCGATCAAGCCGCGGGCGATCGGTGGTAGCAAGCCACGGGTGGCGACAACACCTGTGGTCAACAAAATCGCCGACTACAAACGAGAATGTCCCTCGATCTTCGCCTGGGAGATTCGCGATCGACTTTTGCAGGAGGGCGTTTGCAATAACGACAATATACCCAGCGTAAGTAAATTGTGTGGTGTGTTTTTTGAGAAATACGCAGGTATAGTTAATTATATTATTACCGTATTCGCGTGAACACTTTAAATGACTTATTAAGCTTGAGATAAATATCACGCATTAGAATATATAAATCGTCTTAAACGAATTCAAACGCAAATACCAGTTTCTCGAGTCTGTGCGCGCGATTCGTCTCCTGCGCAGATTTATCGCACCCGGCGCGACGTGCGAATAAATTTCCCGCTGTGTCGGCGCCATGCCGGGCCATTGATTGGACACGGTATAAGTTTACGCGTAATCCGCCGTCGACTTATCGTGGCGCGCAGCCGGCTGGGTGTACTTACCCGTCGGATCCGGCCACTCGACCCTAATCAAAGTCTCGTCAATGCGATCGGCTGGGTGGGGTAATCGGTCCATTACGCGGGCCTCGGCATTGTCCACCCTCTCGGCCGCTGATCGCCCTTCTCCGGACCCGAAGAATCTTCTCCGGTCGTATGTCCGTTTGTCTGTCTACCAAATATCCTAGCTGCTCACAGTCCCTCCGCATCCCTTTTCTCGATCAACCGCGCGAAATATCCTCCAAGGTCGATCGTTCCCGTCTGGCTCTCTTTCGAGAACGCTCTTCCTCCCCCTATCAAACTGTCAAGAATACTGAAAGGGGATGGCACGCGTACAAGTCGTTATCCATCGGCTCGTGGAGCAACCTTCACTCTCTTGCCGGTGTGTCTCTAGGAACTACCGAATGTGGAAGACGGTTGATGGAGGATGTTAGGGGTTCCAGGGTGATCAATCAGAGCTTCTGTAGCACGCGCTCTTGTCGTCGAGCATGTAATGTGTCTGTCAATAAAGAGGTTACATGTGAAAATGACATTTCGCGTCAAATTTGATTAGTTAAAATTTAATATTCATCACGCGCAGTCTCTTCTTCTTTCGATTTTATTTAAACATTAAACTTTGCAATGTTCAAATTTCCTACAATAAAAATTGAGAGTAAAAAACAGCAAAAAAAAAAAAAACAGAGTAAAATATAAAAAACAATTCTCTCGATCTGATCGGTGAACCAAGAATCAACTCTTGAAAGTGGTTTCGAATGTAATCCGAGAGCGGAAAAAGAAGAAACGATGGTTGATCGACGGGTCGACTTCTTTCCGAACGTTCCGATCTTCTCTTGACTAGTAGATCGCTGGCGTTGGCGGTGGCGTTGGCTGTTGCGGCTGGTACACATCGTGCCGAGGGTTGGTGCTAGGGATGCGGCGGGGGTTAGTCGGCGGCGAGAGCGGACGGGAGCGGGTAGAATCAGGGTGAATGGGATCAGTTAAGCGTGTTGCACAATTATTCGTGTCCGGTCGCGCGTGTAATGGTCTGCATCGACGCTGCGGCTGTTGTGCGGCGAGAGTAGAGCGGCGCGGAGCGTACAGCCGGGATCTCTCTCTCCCTGGATAGATGGTCTGATGACGGAGAGCCTGGTGTGTTCAGGTTAGCCGGGGCTAACTCGTCTCGAAACGTCGCTTCCGCTATCCGCCTGCTATTATCTCCCCGGCATGTGGATGAGTCGAGACGCTGGGAATTACGTATGCTCGATAAGTTCAGAATATGGGCGTACGCGTTAGATAAAGTTTTCGAAAATTGATTATTCTATCGAAAATTAAAATTCACGTTTTACGAAAGTTTCGATGTCATCGGGATATAACATCGAAAACCGAGTATCGTGGATATCAAAGTTTTCCAAGTCCGGGATTTTTTCAACTTTAAAACACGATTTTAATAGATGGCTTCGAGCACCTTGTTCCAACGATAACGCGTACTCTCGTCGTCGCTCGGCCATTATTCCGTCGGTTTTGAATCAAACTACGCGAGAAGGATCGGAGCTTTGCGCGCTCATGCCGCTCTTATTGAGGCTTGTCGACCTCGTAATTAAGAAGCCCCGCTCAATATGCGACGTTCGCTGCATTAACAGTCGTGCATGTATACCCATATATATTCGTTGTGCAACGACATCGATTGCGGAAGAGTGCGGAAGGATGAGGTTGACGCGTATGGAACGCGCTGAGGACCATTATGTGCAAGTTGAGAGAGCGATGCTTGAATCCCCGTGCAATATACGCGCCGGCTCGTTATAACTTTGGAGTTAGCCACTGGCTCGGTCGCGGGTTGCAAGGTGAAGACGACGACGACGACGACGACGACGACGACGACGACGACGACTAGACGGGCTCAGATTGGAGGGGGATGAAGAGAACCATAGAGACCGTTTTATGTAATAATAATTGGACGGCGGTGTCCTTTCATCTGGTTATGAACCCTGGGCCTTCTTCGCATCCCCTGATCGCGAAAGGACGAAAAAGAGGAAGGAGGATTCCACGTGAGAGGGGGAGATGGCGGCGGAAGGCGGACAATCGGTGCGCGGGTTACGACGACGGAAAATGATTCTCGTGCGCGACGAGTGGCTGCGGTCGCGAGATTTTACAAAGAGCCGCGCCCCAACCCATCACGTGCCAGCCGTGTTTTGCTTCTCCCTTTCTCGTGATCCGTCACAAATGGATGACGAAGATGTCTGAATATAGAAACACATTGCGAGTCATTAGTGCTGGAAATATGTTACGTTTTCTTTTAGTCATCCGTTTGTTAAGATCCAAAAAAAAGTGATTTCTTCTAATTTTAATAGGTTTTTACTTTTATATAATCGAGTAATAAATATCGACGAGACTTAAATTTTAAATCCATAGATTTTGCCGCAATTAAATTAGTTTCAATATATTGATAATATATATATATCCAAAATTATATTATCTTCATTAAAATTGTTCTTTTAACATTTTTGAAAAAAAAAACACGTTTTAAATTGACATTGAATTAAAAATAGAACAAATATTATGTGTGTATGTGTGAACAATCAACTTTCTGCATTCGTTAAGAAAAGTAAAACTAAATGAACGATGGTGGGCCACGAATTTATTTACAACTTATGTAATATTCATAACAAAAACTTCGGGAAAAAACACAGATAGATCTAAAAGTTGCGATTCTGTTAATATTAAAAGTTAACGAATTCGATCAATTGATTCTCAACGAAAATTTTACCTTCTCCGCAGGTGTCATCTATTAACAGGGTACTCAGGAACCTGGCCTCGCAAAAGGAGCAACAGGCGGCCGCGGTGCAAGCGCATCAGGGCGCCGAGAGTGTCTACGATAAGCTGAGAATGTTCAACGGGCAGGCAGCAGGTTGGCCGCCTGCGTGGTACTCGGCAACACCTTCTCATCATCCCTTAGCCACGGGAATTCCAACGGCGGCAACTCCTGGATCCGGCCAAACTCTTCTGCCCGGCAGTCAGCTGCACGGACGCGACGATTCTCTACTGAAGCGAAGTGGTAAGTTCTGATGTATATTTTGTATCGAATTAATGATAAAGCGTTCGTTCCTTAAATTAAAAAAATTTGTCTTTGAATTGAAACACTGTGATCAAAATTTGAACGGGAAATGTTTGCCTGTACGGATATAAAATTTATAGCGTTTGTATTCTTTCTACACATATTATCTCACTCGAATCGAAACGATTATACATTAGATTGCGCGCAACTTTGAGTTCTCGACACCTCGCATAATGCAACGTATACCCACGCAGTCGAGTGGAGAAAAAGGATCCGTTGCCCAGCGTTATAAGTCTAATAGGATCACAGAAATCGGGCCTAGGGCTCGACTCTTAGCCGGAATCGGTCCCGCGCGGATGACGGATCCAGATGCGGCCGCTCTCAATAGATAGATTATGTGAAAGCATTACGTTACGCGGTAGAGTGACAGGTAGAAAAGAGCTTTCACCGGTAGCGTATTCTCTGGCGTTGATTTTAAAATGTATCATAGTGGACGTCTTCCTACAATCTCTCTCGGAACTTATCTCATACATGACGTTTTAATCATGGCAGTTCGACGATTTCGACAAAATTGTGTGAGCTCTCTTTAAATATCAATATAAACGAAAATATATTATTTGAAATAGAACGTAAAGTACGTTTTTGTATTTAACAAAAAAAAACTCGGTGCAATTTAAGTAATATGTTACAATATTTATATATTGCATAGCTCTATCAACAAACACAATGAAAATACACTAAATAATTTAGTAAGAAAATATTTGAAGTATTGAAGAAGGCGTGTCGTAAACACGTTGCCACTTGCAGGTAGTGGTTTATACTTCAATGATTACGCGTTCAAATGCCATTGAATGCACACTCGGATGCACAGGAACGCATCGAACGGTCGATCGCGGCCACTTTGGCCGAAGCGAAGGCGTATTAAGCAGCCGAATCATAGAGGAGCATCGACTAAGTAATCTCTTTTCTTTCTTCGCCGAGCGTGCGTCGTCACCTAGAAAATTAAAGCCAACGATCCGTCTGCAGCGGACCACCGAGGATCGTTCCCGGTCTGGTCGTTACGCGCAAGGGTATTCGCGAGGAGGCACGGGGGTGGGTCCGCGGAAAAGGAGGAGAACGGAAAAGAGGGAGGAGAAGACGGTTTAGGGCGATGAAGCAGGCGGGAAAGGCGGGAGAGAGAGAGAGAGAGAGAGAGAGAGTGAGGAAGGGAGGCGTGTTTGGGGTGCCGGTATTTCTAGTCGTGGGGTCGAGTCCAATTGGGGGTTGCGCGGGGGTTGAGATGAGCGAACGAGAAAGCGAGCAGCTGACGAGCGAACGGTACATATATACGTAATACATATGTACGCAAGCGTAAGGGCGTGCGTATATATGTATATCTCTCCGCTGCCGTGCGGAGGACAGAGCGGAGGGTACAGAGGAACACCGGGAAGGTACATTGCGAGGAATGGAAAGAGACGAGGGTGCGATGCGCGGAGGCGGAAAGTAATCGCGGCCCACGGGGGTTGACGAGGGGTTACCCTCGTGCGCATACGAACCGGTGCACCAACATGAGATGCGACCCCGAAGACCGGTCGCGTACGCCTGAACGCGCGCGATGTCTAGGAATCTCTAGAACGGCGGATTGCGTTGCGGAATCGGTTGCCGATTGACAAGTCACAAAATGACGCAAGCCTTTCAACTCTCTTTCATTACTCTCAAATGAGCGTGACGCTCGAACAAGAAGACTTATTTTCTGAAATTTGTAGAATTTTGCTTCAAAAATATATCGTGTGTATAAATACAAATTAAAAAGAAAATAATAAATTATTGTTTCAGACACTGGTTCTCTATTGTCGCATCAGCAGGAGACAACTTCGGACGGTAATTCGGAACACAACTCCTCTGGCGACGAGGACTCGCAGGTGCGGTTGAGGTTGAAGAGGAAATTGCAACGCAACCGAACTTCCTTCTCTAATGAACAGATAGACAGCCTCGAGAAAGGTCAGTACAAACTTCAGTCAGAAAGTTATCTACAAATTTAGAATTCCAAATTTATGTATATTTCAAAATCTCGCGGATTTTCTTTTCACTGTAAATTCTTTAAAGAATTAAACAATGTTATTTTAAAATTTAAATAAACTCTTTGTTCCCACTTTGGTGTTTTATACTAAACATCTAAAGCGCACATATGTGCTTCGAATAACTCTGTTATAAATCCGCGTTATAACACAAAACGCCACCGATATTATTCTCTTCTCCATTCGATCTCTGGTATTTGCCGAGAGAAAATGCATGATAGTCGACAAGCCCCATGTATCGCGATAATTAATGCCGACGACGCGGCTAAATAACGAGCACTTGTTGCAAACTGGTTTCGTTTCAGAATTCGAGCGGACACATTACCCGGACGTGTTTGCACGGGAGCGTCTCGCCGAGAAGATCGGATTACCTGAGGCACGTATCCAGGTGAGTGTGAATGTGCGAATGTGGCGTGTGTGCGCTTCCTCTACCGACAGTCGCTCCACCCACCTGTCCCCTTCTCTTCAACCCCTAAGTTCCCCGTCCTCCCGCCCTGTTTTCCTCCCTCGTTTTCCCTGGGCACGTCTTTCTCTCTTCTTATTCCGTCCGTTCCTCTCGGGAGGGTCGACCGGCGTAAGTGCGACGACGCCCTTTCATTAAACGCTTTTAACGTGTGACCACGTGTATGTGTGTGTGTGGTCGTACGTGGGGAACATTAAACACCTCCGACGGTGAGCTTGGAACTGCTCGCGAGACTCTCAATGGGATTTTGTCACCTCTTTCGCTTGCTGCTTCGCCGCCATTTACGTATTCTTACACGCGCGCGCGGAATTCTTATCCTCGATTTGTGGCTTGTAAATAGATACACGACATATGGGATTATTTTTTGTTTTAGAAGATCTGAAACACGTTTCCCCACCAATACTAACATATTAATTTTATGTAAGATATTTATAAGTATCATTTTCATTTGTTTTGTCAGATTTTAAAAGTAGAAATTTTGGTACAAATTATATTTTAATGATTACTCCAAAACATGTATATGAATTAAAGGTAAAAAGATATTAATCAGTGCTTATAACGTTGAAACATTGCGAACGATAGCTTAAATGTCGGTTGATGTTCTAAACAAGTTAGAAAGTTCGACAAATCTGTGAGATCATGTCGACAAAGTCAAGAGCACTGAGATAGAGACCGGAATCATACTCATTTAAATTAGAAGATCAGGAAACCTTGTGAAACTTCAGTTCGCATTTAAAGCGGCTGGTACCACCGCAGCAACTCTCTGTCTATGTTCTTTTAAAGTTTCCTCAAATTTTCTTGCCCCCGCTTATCTGAAGTTCGCGTATTTGATGGCCAAAAACTGTAATCAGAATACAGAACATTTTCGATAGTTAGAACAAGTAAACCACAAATTTAAATTGCTTGTGACAAGAAAAAACAATTGGGAGAATAAAAAAAAGTTATTTTAGAATATTTTGACATCTGTGTAATGATAGTTTCTCTCTCTCTCTCTCTCTCTCTCTCTCTCTCTTTTCGATACCTTATATATTTAAATACATGCGCTGATATTTACACAAATATTATTCAAAATTATTTGTCGGATGACATAAATAAATTCCTTTTAACTCATTATGTTGTTTGTTGGATTGTGCAACAGCTCTCTTGCTCTCTTTCTCTCTCTTTCTCTCTCTCTCTCTCTCTCTCTCTCTCTCTCTCTCTCTCTCTCTCTCTCTCTCGGTTAGTTAAAATTACATTTTCATCTACTGTTACACAGTAAGCTATTCTAAATAGTTATTAATAGGAACGCGGAAATGCGTTATATTTTCAATGTCATTAACAATGTCTTTTATTACGTATGCAAACATTTCCGAAATCTGACGCGTTATACTGTTCAACAACATACATTTCGATAATAACTTCCTGCTTTTCAATCACGTATAAAATCCTGTATTGCGTATAATTATAATTAATATCAACATCGAGAACTGCTCTCTCTCTCTCTCTCCTCTCTCTCTCTCTTTCTCTCTCTCTCTCTCTCTATTACGCACGCAGCCTTATCGAACATTGTCGTGTTTCACCCTCCGCTTCTCATTGCCTCTCACCTGCACTACTGCAACACGAAGAGAGATGGGTGAATCGGCGAAGTGGCCGACGGGGGGATATGGCGTGGTGGTAGGTAGGTAGGTAGGTAGTAACCGGGCGCTCTGAGCGTTATGTGGACGTACAAACAGTGCAAGACCATGTTGACGCATGTTTTCAAGCCTCGTTGCCTGGTATTGATCTTGCTAAGTGCAGGAAACCGGGAGTTCCGGCGCGGGTGGGAAAAGGAGAAGTTCGACGAGAAAGAGGGAGAGAAAGGGAATGATAGAGAGGGAAAGAGAAAGATAGAGAAAGGAAGACCGAGTGAGGCCGAGCGGAACCGAAAGAGAGTGGAGAGAAAAAGATAGTCAGGCTCGGTCGAAGAGGGTGCGCGACGGAATTACGGACATCGCCGAGTCAGACCGATTGCTGGACGATCGTTGAATAGCGAGGTATGTGGAAAAACCAAGAGCAAAGTGCTCGACATTCTGACAGAACGCAGAACACGTTACGCGGCACGGCGCGGCACGGCGCGGCACGGCTTGGTCCGCCCGAGTCGCGAGGGATCGCGCGAAAAGGCCTAAGAGGGTTCTCGGACGCAACCATGGCAACGTTGCGTTCCCCAGGGAGGTCGCCCTCCGATTGGCCCGTCCCTCGCATTTCCAACTATATACCCCCTCGGCCACGAGATTCGCCACGCCGTGCTGCTGCCACGTCGCCGGCCGATTATCATCCGCGGCGTTCCCTAAGTCGACTCGTGCGAGCGCGATGGCCGATACGCTATGAGGGATTAAAGCGGGATTTCTGTCCGACGCGCTGTTCGTGAACGCCGAGTAAAACAAACAAAAAGTAAAGCCTGAAATTGAACAGAGTTGGTAAGACCTGTGTTTAGACCGGTATCAGTCTCGTCGACCGCTTTTTGTTTTTTGTATTGTTTTTTTTTGGTTTTTTTCTCTTTTGAAGAAAGAACTTATTTTCTCTTCGTTGACATACTTTTTCTTAAGCGGAACGAGAAATTTTGTGAAGCCAATAGTTTCATACATTCCATTAGACGGGCGAAGCTTGCAAACGAGCCAATTTCTTGCGCTTCCAGTCGGCGCGTCGCGAATATGTCGAAGGTCGGAAGGTTTCAAGGTCGGAAACCAGCATCAAAAACCGGTCTCAGTCGCGTTTTGGCTATTGACAAGACCCAGAGAAGAGCGTGTTTCTCGAGCGGCACTAAGAACCAAACGTGTTCAGATCACGGACTTTCGCACGGATCGATTCGGACGAGTTTTCGGGACGAGGGAGGACGAGTTTACGAGGAACGATGGTATTGGGCGGAAGAAACCCGCTGCGGGCGAATGGCAGATATTTGACGGTGGGGTGGTCGAACACGATTTGCTGCGCCAATGGGAGGACAGGAGGATGGAATTTATTTTTTGATTCAATCGAGAGAACCCTCGTCGTGTTTCGTAGCGCGCGGCGTTATACGTGAGATTGCGGAAGGCTTGTATTTCTACGTTGATGGCATTTCTTTCCGCTGCGAAAAACATCCCCCTTTTTTTCCCGTATCGCGCACGCTGTAATTCGTTACACCGAAATCGACAGAAATGGAAATTGCCGTTATTGCTTTGTCCTCTATTTTTTGTTCGCACACAGCAGCACGCGGAAATATGCGGAGTTCTCCGTCGAAAACTTGTCCCCGTAATTGCGTATGTCGGTTATATTAAATATAACTCACTAGCAGTATTTCAGATTTCACCTTTTTCTCGCGAATATAACGCGACCGATTTTGACTATATAATTACAATACACGCAAATCAAAGTAAATACAATATTTTGATAAAACGATGTAACATTTGTAAGAGAGAGAGGAGAGAGGAAACATTTTTATATATATACGCGAAGACAAATCGAAGAGCTTAACCAGTTTATATAAAACCGTATCCGTAAAAAATAAATTGAACAAAACTGCACTGCATACATATACAGAAAAGAGCTTACGCGCGCGAAAGCCAAATGCACGGTTCACGGATTGTTCTAAGTGCCAGAAAGGGAAAACCGATATATCGTAGGGGACGAATCCTCTTATCGCTGAGAAGAATCGCAAAAATCAGAAAATCCGTGCAAGCGTGGCAAGAACCTTAAGCCTCGATTTATTGTACCATAGTACGGATCATATTATTTGGGACATCACTTCGAAATAGTAAAGATACAATGATTGAAAGTGCGCTATTCCGTCCGTCATTCTTATTCGTTGTTTTTATTCACACTTTCATATAATCGTGACTTTTTATCTTCCCCTAATTTTATTACATTTCTATAAAAACCGAGGAATCGATTGAATAAAAGTTAATAAAGTTAATCGAAGTTTTAAAAAAATCTAATAGAGAGTTATTGGGTAGAGATAGAAATAATCGAGGGCTTTGTATCGATATTGCTGATGCGAGACCGACTCGATTGCAGGCGTGCGTGATTGAGTTTGACGCGATTTATAGCGTAACCAGACGCTTGAAGAGACACGTGTAAATGCGCGACAGCGAAGGGGCGGCAGGTAGAAACGTATAGAGAGAGAGAAAGAGAGAGAGGGAGAGAGAGAGAGGAGAGAGAAAGAGAGAGAGAGAGAGAGAGAGAGAGAGAGAGAGAGAGAGAGAGAGAACGCGTGAGAGACCAGAACGAAGGGTGCTGTGCACGGGAAGGGCGCAAGCGAGCAAGAGTAACTCAATTTCCCGTCTGACAACTGCTCAATCGCAATTAACAAATTGGAGGAGCGCTTCGCGCGAACTCGCGCGGCTTGTTCACATGCGAAAAGAGTGTCTGGGTGCTAGATTTCGCGCTACCTCGGAAGTGCATGAGAAGAGCTCGGGTGGGATGGAGCGAGAGACCGGAAACCGAAAAAAAAGAAGAGAGAGAGAGAGAGAAAAAAGCGAGATGCGACAGAGAGGTGGTTCAGGGAGGATGGGGGGGTATTCTCTTCGGAGAGGAAGCAGAGGAGTGTCGTGAAGCGCGAACGAACGAGTGCGAATGCGAACGAGTGTGCGGGATGATGTGGAATATTGTGTCGGCGGCGCCCGAGTGTGCGGCTGCACACTTATCGTGACAAAGGCACCGTCATTGTGTCGGTTGCAGGTGTGGTTCAGTAATCGTAGGGCAAAGTGGCGTCGAGAGGAGAAATTACGGAACCAGAGGAGGGCTGCCGTCGATCAGGTGGTCGCCGGCGGCAACGGCGGGGGTAGCAGCGGCGCTGCGCCTTCCGCGGCCACCCCCGCTACACCACGGTTGCCCTTAAACGCCGGATTCAACGCCATGTATTCGTCGATACCGCAACCAATCGCCACCATGCCCGACACGTACAGGTACGTAGTTCTGTTGATAAAGTAAAAGTATTGTGTTTCTCAAATACAAAAGAGTTACACGCGAGAATAAATACCAGATTTCCGATAACTTGTTGAACAAAGATACATGTATACATTCTTCTGTCAAACACAAACCAATATTCTCCGTTCTTGACCAAAATTTCATTAAATGCTATTTTTTTGCCACGAGATTTACACAACGTTATTCTTAAACACAATAACAGCTGAATTTAGAAACTTTTTAAGGAAGATTCTATAGTAAACATAAAAATCTCTTATAAAACTCACTGAGTGTGGTGAAGGAAAAGAGAAAAATAAATTTACTGCTATATAAATATACTGCTATATGAAAATAAATATTTACTGCTATATAACTTTATTGCTATATAAAAATAAATTTACTGCTCAAGCACATATACGCTATGTCATTTTTCAAATTTAATTAATAAAATTTTCTATCTTCAACATGATTTGTTTTTTATTTGCAGCTCCATGTCAAGCAGCCTGGGCGGCTCAATGGGCGGAAGCTGTCTTCAACAACGTGCCGAAGGCTATCCGGCATACGTGTTCCATGAGCCTCTTCATTCGCTCACGCAGTCTTACTCTCACGCACACAGCGCGGCCGCAGCCGCGCACTCGCAACCCCATCGCGGTATCCCAACGTCTCACGGTGGTACTCCCGCAACGCCGGGAGGACAACCCACCGGACCAGGTGGAGCACCCTACCAGCCAACGACCTCGACCGCGACCGGTGAGTTTTCGACACGATCAATTTGCTGCATTCCCCACTTTTCGTGCGTTCAAGGTCACCCAAGACCGTAATTGTCAAAAAGTTTGTCGAAAGCAACACTCGTAATTATTTAGAAACGTTATTTAAGACAATGAATTATAGAATAATCTGTTACAATGCGAAAAAACATGTTTTGCGTTCCTTAAGCAAACATGTTTTTTTAAAAAAACATTTTTAAACGCATTTACCACTTCAATTAGATTTTATTGCCAGTTTTGGATTTTTTTCGGAATTGATAATTACATGTACGTTAATATATATTTTTTAATGAACTACTGAGGAGAAATCTCTAAGCTTTGCTTAAGCTAAGTGTGTACGAGAATGTAATGGAATGAATAATTTTACGCCAAAAACCAGTACAGGTTTCCATTTCTAATTTTCGCCCGACGCGGTCGTCGTTTCTTCTCCGTGTTCTAGCCGGTTCAAAGCGCGAAATAAAGCGTCGAGAATTACCTGGGAGCCTCTTCACACGCAATCTACATATCCCTGCTAACAGAAAGAAAGAGAGAGAGAGAGAGAGAGAGAAAGGGTGAAAGAGTGAGAAAACGCGTGCGAGAGGATAAGAGAGGGTTGTAAAGAGCGAGCGCGCAACGACGCGGTCGCGGCTCCACGCTCTCGCCCACGGAATTGTAAAAGGATTTTAAAACAAATCTCGCATGGCGCCGCTGGGCTGAATCGAAGAATGGGATGTTCGGCGGTTTTCCAGCCCCGCCGATGTAGCTGGTGAATTTTCCATTTTCCTACTTCACTTCTCTCTCTCTTTCTCTCTCTTTCTTTTTTTTACGTGCCGCTTGGTTCCTCCGATCTTTCTTTTCTCTCCCGACCCTCTTTCTCTATTATTCCTTTTCTTCGTCTGTCTCTATATCTCACCCTCTCGCTTCCCGTTTAACGAAAGCCACGGAGGGTCGCGCCTCCTCTCGCAGTCTGCGCCGCCTCGTTCTCTCCCTTTCTCTCGTCCCCTTCGCCTCTGTACCCTTTCAGCCTCCGGGGTGCACTCGCTCCTTCGTGACTATCCATCTATCTGTCCCTCTTGTCGCTCTCTGAATCCCCTTTCGCCCTCTTTCTCCACATCTCTCTCGCTTTCTCTCCTCTACCTCTCTTTCTCTCTCTCCCGCTTTCTCTCCCTCCTGAGGATATACAGGGGTGAACAGAGGATGTGGATGGGTTGGGTCTCGCCTCGGCTGGGCGAGCGCTCAATAACGTGCGAACCCAAAGGGGAGGAAATACGGGGGTGCGCGGCGTATCTACAGGAACGGAGCGGAGCGCAAGCCGGAATGGTGGAATACTGCGGAACACGCGCGCACTGTATCCCTCCCCCGCTGTTCCTCTCGCCGTCCCGCACACACTCTTCTCGCGGCCGCCTTTCTTCCTTTCCGCTCTTTCGCCCCTCTCGTGTTCCTGCCGCTTTTCCCACCTTCCCGCGCGCGCGTTCCCGCTCCTTACGTGCGGAACGAGCCGCGGGTTATCCATCATAATCGCTTTACGTGCACGAGCGCCGTAAGGACTTTCACCGCGCTCGTTAGCGCCGCGCCAGTCCTGCCAGCTCTAACGGCGCCGTTTTCATAGTTAAGTAGCCGCCCTTAAAGTTACCGGAATTCGACCGCGGAAACAAACGCAATCGCGGAATATCTTCGCAGCTGGTGGTTTGATTTTTGCTCACGCGAGCAAATAAATCAGAGAGTCACAGATACTCGACATTTACATCATTCTTTCGCATTGAGACGACAGCGCTAACTTGACGTTGAAAGATAAAGTTCTGGGTGGAATTACACAGGGCATTAATCAAAAAGTCACGTGGTTAAGAAAATTGATAGCTGCGTCGATGTTTCAGTAATTAATCTTGATTTAAATGCATTCTGATATTTCGAAGTAATGACAAATTTATGTTTTGCTCGAGCAAATAGATAAAAGTTTTTTGTGCAACTATCAATTCACGCATCAATGTTTTCAATATGTTAACTTCGCGGTTAACGCGGTTAACGCAATTACGGGCGCGCGTTCTCGTTGTAACGTTCGCCAAATTGCCCGTCTTGCATTTATGCCATAATTATAACCCACGCGAGAAACGAAGTTACGACGCAAGGCTGCACAGAGCGTAAATGTTTTCGCGGAAGTTTATATTGGATTAGACGCAGCTCGTTAAGGTGTTTAATTCAAATTGCAGAAGTGTGCGAAGCTGCCGCGCGTTATCATAGCCGAATCCTATTTATGCAGCCGTCACTGCAGTCAACGCAAGTGTGTTTCTCGCATCGCCTTATGTAAATACAAACCCGGTCGTTTTTAGCGAATTAATCTCGCTACGTTTCACGCAATTAACGATTCGCGTTCTCTTCGCGTGGCCATTTTCTTTTATATTCTCGACGCGTGAATGCGTAAGAAAGTAATCCGCGCGCAGTTTGTGACGTTATCGTGAATATAAAAATACTAGGATAAAAAAAAAAAAAAAAAAGAACTTTCTTTGATCAGAAAGATATGCGAACAGCATGTTACAGACATGATCGAAATGCGACATTTAGTTGGGCTACCCTAATAGAAATCCATCTTAATATAATCCTTATCTCTTATCTCATTCCGTTTTCCTCGACAGACAGTTCTCGTGCCGTCGCAGCGCGCTTAGCCCTCTCCGTTATCTTGAACTGTTTCAGGAGTGATATCGGCGGGCGTCTCGGTGCCGGTGCAGATTCCCTCGCAGACCCCAGATCTGGCGGGTAACTATTGGCCGAGGCTCCAGTGATCCCAGCTCTTCGGGTTCCCGCCCGCGAGCTTGCTCGTAGGCCAGGAGAGCCCGCCGCCGCCGAGCGTCACCCCGGGCGCGGTGCCCCGACCGCTCCTCGCTTCCCTCGGGATACCGACGCAGTCGACGCAGCATCAGGCCCCCAGCACACCGGCAACCACTCCTGTTCACAACTCCGACACCAGTGAGTGAAACAACTGACCGTTCGTGACGTGCTTGCTGTCACGCAGTGATCACTGTCCGAGACTTGTCCGGCGCGACGATCACGACGTTACGAGCTACTACACAAGCGGAAGAAAGAGAGGTGCTACGAAGAAGTTTCGCTCGACGAGCGAGACGACAGAATTTGCTTCGAAGACGCGCAGTTAGTGTCGGTTGTGCGTGGAAAAACAAACTCAATCCCGAATGACGACGCACACGTGACTGCAATATGTCCCCCGTTGTCTCTCGTAAGTTGAAAATTTTGTTTGTCCATCCTCCGACATTTTTTCCGATGCTAAGAGAAGTCTGTTCTTACCACGAACTATTACCGCGAACGTTTATATCTCGATTGCATGGATCATTATATAATTGACGTTGCGCAAGTATTTCACACTTTTCCCAATTAATCGGGCAACGTTCGTCTGTCCGTACAGCATCGTGTTTATTAATTTCCTCGCAGACCGAATTCGCAACTCGCGTCCTCGAATGTGTTTACGACCGTCAATTTTCTGAAAGGCAATACCTATCTGCTATTCGATTAGATTAAGAGATAGGATATAGAAATTACCCTTTTCTTGTGAAACAATTTGTAAATTTGCCACCACCGCTCGCTGACGATCGCTGATAGATACGTCACGTAAGAAGAGTAGCAGCAACAACAGAGGATGCAACTCTAAATTCTTTAAAAAAAAAAAAAAAAAAAAAAAAAAACAAATCTAATTAGAAAGAAAAAAGTTTTTACCAACCACCGATCACACAGAGCAGAATTTCAGACAGCGCTATAAGTTTTGCAATTTGAACAGAAAGCAACCGACACATAATCACCATCTTTCACTTTCGTGTCTGATCTAGATTTCATAGATGTATACGCATGACCCGGGTCACGCAGGGTAACTTACCTATTCATGATAGTATGTGTAAATGATTTACGTTACCATCACTAGTATGTCGACGAATCTCGCGTAAAGAATCAAATCATCTATGTTATCTCTCTTTTCTTCGAAATCGAAATTATTTATTTCATAAAGAGAACAGTGACTCTTTTAATATGAAAGTTCGTACGTTCACTGATAAATTTCTCTTCGCGGATGAATGAACGTTTTAATGCGCACATCATAATGTCAAAAAGTTCTCTTTTTTACTATGTTCCCCAACACGCGCAAATTCACCTTTTAGTTTTTCCGAAGGTCGATCGATGTCAAGAGCGTTCATTAAATTTACAGCGGTTCTCGTTTTTCGGTATCGACGAGCTTTATTACCGGATTTATTGGATACCGCTGGGCGCATATTGTTTGCCGCACGTTGTATCGGTTTCCGGCAAATATTTTCCTTCGTGTAAGGGCGGCCGCGAACCGCGTGGAAATTGAAAGGGAGCCGCAGACACGTAGGCGGCTCCCGCCGAAATATATTCTCGCGAGAGTTTAGGGCGGTAGTCTCCCGATGAGGCTGATTTCGTTGCGGGAGGGAACGGTTGCCAGGGTTGATAGCTGCCTGGAGGGTGGCTTTTTTCGGCGAGGCCGGCCATCGTGTCTGTCGGCAGATATGGCGTCGGAAGACACCGCTCTCGAGAGGATGCTTGCGGTCCTTGTCTACGTATCGTGTATATCGATCGACGACCTGTTTACGAAAAATAGCCGCAAAAAAAACTATATTGTAGATTAGGTTTGCTGAATTCTTATATTTATTTTTATGTATATTTATTTTTTTTACAAGAAATAACGTTTTTGTTTTATGTTTTTAGAATTATAAAGGTCTCTTATAAAGTTTTTTTATGTTATTTATTGAATATGTATTAAAACTGTTATTATTATACTAATTTATTAAACCACTATATTTATAATGTGAGCGGGGGTTCTTTTCGCGGAGATTCGTCATACGTTTTGCAAATGCAATCGCACACGCACAAGACATGTTGCGTGCTTTCCACGTTGTACAATATTTAAAACCACAAAGAGATCAGTGTGCAGATTTTACCGAAAAATATATAGCAGTATTACATACAGTTTCAGATTCCCTTGTAGTTTCGCGAATACAGATTTTTCCAAATCTCGCATAAAAATCACTCGACACAGATTTTTTGCGAGAGCAAAGGAAAAATTAATTAAACTGTTCGATTTGAGAACGCCTCGTTTTGTTTTTTTTTTTTTTTACACAACACATCTCTCTCTCTCTCTCTCTTTCTATATCGAATGTTTATTCCCGGTCCAAGATACATGATTCTAGATTAAGACAATCCAATCCGTAAACTTATACCATTCGTTATTACCATAAGCACAATGACATACGAGAATATAAAAAATAAACCGGCGTAACTATAGAGGGATAATACGTTTTCATATAAATGACACACTGTAAGGCCGGGAGGAGGCAAAGCGCCAGCATGGACGATGTTTGCGTCGGTATTTATGTCGCTATTAATGTAAGCGTATTGCTGAGTTAACAGACCGAAGAGTCGGATTACAAGCGGATCGCGAATATTGGTGCTCATATAGTAACAAAAAAAAAAAAAACAAAAAAAAAAAGAAGATCGGATCGGCATCGAATTCGTCTATCGTCGCCGCGCACACAATCGAAAGATCATTCTTCTTCGATTACGCTGTATAAAAATGACTGTGTAAGATAGCGTTTGTTATACTCTCTTTAGAATCAGTGCTGTAAATTAGAAATAATTATCTCTGTATATATATACGTACATATAAGTCAGACGAAGATTTCAGTTAAGTTCGAAACGTACCCACATCTTTATAGACTACGCAACATCTTATCTGTGTATTCAGTGTTTTTCCCTCACCAAAGTGACGACTTCGTTACTTACACCGTTTGCAGCAGCAAAAGAAACTTCAATAAAATCAAATGATCTGAACCTACATTTATTGTTATCATTTCGCGAAAAACCTAAGACAAATATCTCGAGGAATTTAAAAGATTGATATATGAACAAACCACACCAAGAAGAACACGAAAAATGCAGAATGCGCATTACTTTATTTAAAAAAATAACCCATATGAATGTGTTATATATTGTATGTGGCGTATATTATAATATGCGCGTAATTGTATCATGAAAGTTTTAAAACGCAAAAATTGCTTCAGTGCTTGTGAAATTAAATTTAACGATCTCATTATTCACGTTAAACAATCGCAACTTTAAAACCGCAAGGAGGAACGTTACGATAACTCCCTTCTGTGTGCGGTCTTATTGTGATTTTCGACCGATACGCGTGATCCATTTAATCGATGTAATTCACCATCCATCGAAAATGCAACACGTTTTTTAGTAATTGAGTCGCATCGCACGATCGCGTCGAATAATTAGTCACTGATTCGTAGGTGTGTGGGGGAAAAAAAAGGCATGAAAACACCGACTCGATATTTTCGAATTTTATCGTTATACAGAACTCGGTGGAAGTTTTTTTCAATATTTACAGCATTTTTTTCCGATATGTCTCTGTTACGACGTAAATATTTTCTAGCATTATTCGTTTTTCTTCTCTGGTCCGGTAATACGTAATGATCGTTTTTTATCAACCAATGCTAATGCGTGTCGTAATAAATGTAGGTGACGACCTCTACGAATAATCAGCAACCAATAAATAACCACAAACATATTGTGTTAAACAGTAAAGTGTGAAGAGTATGTGAAGTTACGACATCCGGAACAGCGTCGCTCGTTTTCTCGTCGGTGTTTACACGGTCACGTAGAGAGCTCGTGTAAACTTGTTGAACGTTTGTACGCGAAAAGTACTTAACGGAAAATGTACTGTACATTAGTAAATTTATATTTTTGGAAGAAAACCAAATAGGGGCTGAAAAAAGAAACTGGGAAATTTTCGGCGCATCTGTAAAATCGATCTCGTGATGATAAACGTTAGTCTGAAAAAAGTTTTTTATTTAAACTTGTCAGTGCCACTTCCTTAGTATATAAATTTTCTAGTATAAAAAAAATCAATCAAGAAAGTGTTTTTCGATGTTGAGGTACATATTGTTTATTTGTGTAAACATTCTTTCTATTAAACTTTGTTTTAGAATGTTTCATGAGTTTATTTGCTCCTATGTGAATATTTGTCATATTACATATAAATTTTAAATAAATGACATGAAAATTTCAAATAAAAGAAAAATTAAATAAACAAAATGCGCAGATACGCGAAGCGCCCGGAGAGTTCGGAGAATCCAATACACAAACCCAAAAATTATGAATAAAAAAAAAAACATTTTTACTAAATTTTATATAATTCGACTTTTCATACAATCTATTCAATTTTCTAAACCATTACAAATATTTATGTATATTTATTCTACATTCTACTCTCTATTAATCTTTAAATATATGTATGCATCCCATTGATATCGCTACGTATTATGCTCGTTTGTATGAAGGATTCTCTAAAAACAGGCGCTGTTGCTCTTTCAACAGGCTGCGTGTTTTGCGGGAAAATAGATTAAAGTAATCCTTATTTAATATTATACTATTATGAATCTGTGTTTGCGTAGAGCTTTTGCGAATCGAACGATTGTCGCAGTTCTATGCATGTAAAATGCGTTTGAAAAAAATTATGCTTTCATCAATTATGCAAAACGACGCAGGAAGTGGCCGCGCAACTTTCTTATCTGTAATGATATTACCAATAACGACTTACCATGTATGTGAGTATTAACAAATTTATTAATGAGAATAATATATTATTGCGATAGTAATCTATATGTAAGTGTTGTGAATAATGAGATAATATTGTTGCTGTGATTAACTTTAAGATTGTAAGTAGTAGGAAATAGAGAGAACCACACACTGTTAGGTGTCACTTTGTCTCGATTCAATAAATGTTATTTCATTTTAATGCCAAATCATTACTTTTTATTCGTATAACATATTCCTACATACACATAAATCATATAAAAATTTTCCTTTATTACATGTACAGTATATACTTATATAAATTATAAATAGTATATCAACTATGCCAAAAGTGATACACTAGTTTCTATATTACTGAGAGACGGTATTTGCAATGACGCGTTTATTACATATACTTTACTTTTACATATTTAAATAACTAGATTATAAAAGAAGTATCATGTATAAAAAATTAATTATATAGATTATAAAGGAAATAACAAAAAACATTGTGTATTAAGACAAACATAAAAACCAAAAACTTGATCTTGTCATGGAACAAAATGGAGGTAAACAATCATTAAACGATTTACACGCATCAATACAAATAATTGTGTCTTTAATAACTTTACATTATCAAGTAATATCGATGACGTTGTCGACTTAGTCGAATGGTTCTTATACGCGATCCATTTGGTGTCATAACGTTGGGCAACAAAGTCTCTCTTTCCGTATCAACACTTCCATTGCCGCATCCTCGCATAAGAATATATATCCGTATCATCATCAACACAAACCAGATGCTTATCAGAGCTTTTTCTGGAAATCACAAGTCAAGCAATAAATCACAATCAACATCGAAGATTATTTCTACCGTGTTGAACAAATCAAACGTACCTGCTCCTTGATGGGGCGGATATACGTAAGCCAAATAAAATTCGGGTATGGTGCATCTTCTGATCAAGGTGATAATAATGTATTTCAAACTACTTCCGGTATAATAATCGATCGCGACGATCACAAAAAAAGATCCGAAAACGGCGCGTGTAAATATTTCCGCAACGTGGGACATGATGTTAAGAAACACCGCGATTGTAAGTACGAAGATTATAAACATAGGCCAGAACATCCAATCGCTTTCCAGAACGTAAAACATACTTACTGCAAAAAAGAAAGTAATAAAAATCACAAAATACTCACGTTTCTGTACATAATTGTGTTGGTCTCGTTCGTAACCACGCAAGAAAAGTTCATTAAGTCCTAATTAACGTACGCTTGATGTAACGGATGCTTTCGGTAACATCATAATCGTTTGTCTAACGCGCGGAATGACAAATAATCGATAAAGTAAACATCGATCGCGATCATCTGGTCCGGTAGAATCAGTCTTGCCGTCGCTCCCGTGCAGTTGCGTATGCACGCATCGTGTAATCTAAATAGGTTTCGGCGCAGAATAAATACGGGGACACAATTAGGTAAATGCGAATCTTCCAAGCCGGTTATACCATGCCGTGGAAGTTCGAGGGGGAGAGACGAATATATTACGCGTGTGTGCACGGCATATCCCACGCGCGGCGGCAGCGAGCGCATTTTTGCGTTCGGGCGAGGATGGCGAAGGGTAGTTCGCGGTGTTATAGTGAGAAAGGTGGGAGGCAACGTGAATACGCCACGCCACTTCTGCATGGGGGATTCGACGAGCGAGGTTTCCACATGAGCGGCTAGCATTGATAGAAGCTACGGGGAGAAACTGACTGTGTGCGCCCCTCTCATCCCTTCGCCAAACTCGAACTAACTTCGGGGTAGCTTGGCTGCGCTCCCACCCACAGCTACGCGGAGCTTCGCTCTCTATCCCTCCGCTTTTAAGCCTGGCTTTCATTATTTTCCTATAATTCGCAACAGCCCTTCGCGAGCATCGCGGCGTGGAGAGGCTACCTACGGTTCCCGCCTTCGCTTTTCCCTACGTTTCGCGCCGTGAAGCTACAAGACTGGCTGTAGTACTGGATGATGACTAGGCAGTAAATTAAATTGAAATTATCTTCGAAATAGCAAGAGGAACAATCTTTCGGAGAAAAGAAAAAAAAACAAATGAGCAAAGTTTTTTTTACAGTATCATTCGCTATGCAAATTTTATAGTTTTAATTTCGTGCACGATTTTGTTCGGGGGAGAGAAAGTACATAATATACATACCTGGAGCGTAGAGATATGTGATGCACGCGCACAAAATTCCTAACGGAATGTGATTGTGCAATTTTATACAAGCGTATAACATCCCTGATATCGCTGCAGCAAGAAAAGCCGACATCAAACCTATCGCAATGTTAACTGAAAGAGACAACCGTCATAAAACCAATCTTCTCCAGGTAAGTTAAGTATAAACTGCGCTTAATGTACATTTATGTCATTTAAAATTGCGACAGTAAATTAGTTTACGTATAATTACTCTCAGTGCTAAGATTGCCGATACCAACTGCTAGACTGTAACCGATAATACCACCTATTGTACCGTTTGATAATGAACGATCTATATAAGAATATTTATGTCCTCTAAGAACTGAGAGACAACCTACAATGAAGACTACTGCGCAAATCACTTTCGCAAACGAGTCGTCTGAAAGAAACAAAGTAAAAGGATGAGAAAAAAGTTATTGCTTTTAAATATTACTTAATTAAATCAATTAAAATGTTACAATAGTACGTCACAGTGTGTATATATATTATATACGTATTATATACATACAAAAGAGGAACTGTCTGAAATTTTACTGTCATACGTACGTACTTTATATAAAAATGCGTAATCTTTCAAATCGTGATTTACTATTCGGCATCAAATACGATAGAGAAAATCGAAGATACTAAAAAAACGCATCAAATGAAACATACTTAACATCTGACAACTTTCCGGATAGAGTTCGGGACTGCAAGCGTACGTAAAGCTCGGGACATAAGCCGAGGAGTAATTTCCGTAAGTGGCAACTGCAGCATAAACAGATCCTGTACCAGGATATGCGCTGTATATATGTCTCATAGGACTCATTGAAGGTACCTATCGCGAAATATTCTCGATGAGAAGATACTCTTACTGATTAATTGCCGCAAACAAATTTTCAAACTAAATGTAATAACCCTGACTATGATTGTATCAGTTTTATAGCGCACAAGTATTATTATTAACGCATTAAAAAAAAAAGTTAAGCTTCTTTCCAAGCTAATTTTGTGAACAGAAATACCTCATCGGCGTTTTGCACAATGTCTCGCGCCAACAACATGCTCGCGATCGCATCGAAATATGTTTCCGGTGTGAAATCCTGTCTAGGCAAATAAAGACGGTACATCTTGTGCTGCACCAGACTTTTCTCGCAAAGATACGGCGAGTTGTTGGTGGCGGGCGCCGAGGACGGCTGCGTATCGACTATGATAATTCCGTTTCCTATATTCAGCTTTTGATACGGCGCTACCTCAATATCGAATTCCATATTACATCCACCCGGTATCGGCGCTGGGGAGAACAACACATCTGTCAATGAACGACGGTGATGCGGATTCTCCCGATACACGACCAATTTTGCCATTACGTCCGTCGTCGGAAACGGTTAGCTATTCAACCCATTCACGCGCCACGTATAATAGAGACGCGCCGCAAATTAATCGAATGCACATCTTGCTGGCGCGATATGCAATTTATTTACGGCATCGCGATCACAACGTAACGACGCGCACGGCTGTTTAATTTAATATAACATATAATTTTTCGGTCTTTATCACGCGAATAATGTTCCTTTTCGCGACCATCCTTATAAATGCGCATATACCATTAATTTTATATTATTTTAATTGGCAGTGTGTAATGTCAGAGCGCGTCAGATTTAATTCGATTTAATGGCGCTCAAAAAGGAAGGCATAAAACAGAACGAGAGTGAGACACTCGTGTTAATGTATACAACAAAGAAAGAGAAATGTACATTAATTAATAAATTGTTTGTGCTTACCGTGTCGACCATATGTGACAATTACGAGCAACGCATCGAGGTGATGTACATTGTCGTGCTTTAAGAATACCTGTATGGGATTTAATACATTATGCGTTTTTAAGTACAGACCAATATTCGATCCAAACAAACTTCCGTTCGACACTTTATCGAGCTGCGCTTTGTCGTAAGCTAACGTGGCATTGTATTGAAATGTATGAATTTGTAACACAATAAACCAAATATCTGTTGGAATATCTGTTACGGTGATAGTTAAATCACTCAGCGGGGCTAATTGTATTGTTTGTTTTAGCGCTTCGTTCTCATGATAATTCCGTAAAGATAGTACTATTCCTTGTTTATCTGTAATGTATATGTATATAATAAAAAAAAACATTACATCAAATATATATTTCGTTATTCCACAAATAATTACATATTTTTGCAATATTATTTGCATATAATTTGAGATATTCACATATAAATTGTACAAATAAACAAGAGAGATAACTTTATTCTGAATATAATAAGCCATAACTTGTACACACACATGTTCTTTATGAATTCTTTCTGTTGACGTAATACGTCGATATACTAATACCTCGTTTTATGTAACGTGAATTTTTGAATTAAAACAATTACGTAGAAATATTTAAACTAACATGTAACAATTGTAGAAAAATGTCTAGACTTTCCCGACATTCGAATGCAAACCAACTGTAAATACAAACGTATATTGAAAATAAATACTGATTGTAATGGTAGCATTCAGGTAGATATGTACCTAGATATATTGTATACAACAAATGATATGATGTTTATACAAGCTACACAACTGTTTACACAATGTGTCCACGCGGACGGATATTGTTTACAAGTTGTGTCGGACAAAATCGTTGAACACACTTTGAGGTTATGTACTCGCGCTTACCAAGTTCGATGGTCGTATTTTCTAGCGACGTCGCGTCATCGAGGAACAGAGCCAACAAGAGGGCAAGCACGATTCGTCTCATGTTGTTACAGACAGTAATTAATAACCATCAAAATTGTTATCTAGGTGCAAACCGGCGTTTTCATCGCGACGAAAAATCGGCACTGCTGCGCAACAGCTGTCATTTGACACTCGGCCGTATACGCGCTCGTGCACGACCACGGCGCTCTCGTAGAACGGAGGTGGACGAGCGGTTCTCGCGCCGTCTCGCTCGCACGCCCCATTCATAAGCCTGGCGCAAACCGTAACGTCGTCTCGCTCGCGCTCACGGTCTCGCGTATTCAAGCGACTCGTATACTCAGGTCTCGCGAGGCGACCGACTAGCGGCGCGCCAGTCGGCCCAAGATGGCCACGCTGGATCAATGAAACGCGAGTAATCGTAGTGAAAACACAAATTGACAAGTGTGCAAGCGAACATCGCGGCTCGATCGCGGTGTAAATGGACCATGGGCAAGGACCAGGAGCTGCTCGAGGCAGCGAGAAGCGGCAACGTCACCGTAGTCGAGAAGATTCTCGGCCAGCGTGCCAAGAGGAGTGGTCCACTGGCAAGGTGGGTGTCACCGTGAAGCACGCTTTTTGACACTTTTGCTCATCACCGCCGTTTCCTTATTATCCGAATTCGTTCTCTCTCGCTTTCGGTTATTCGCTCGTGTTGTTCTTCTTATTATTTCGGCAATATTTACGGCCGACATCTCTTCGTCCGGAGTCGTCGACACGACGACGTCGTCTCGCGCATTCCATTATCGAACCGCTGCCGCACGTCGTGCTCGTTTCGACGTGCTCCGATTCGAGAGTCTCGCCAATATAAGGCTGTGTGCAACCAAGGATTCCTCGACCTACGTGATGTTTCCTTTCGGATTTCACAATTTCCTTTTCGCAGCAGCCGATGAAGAAACTCACGCCGCAATCTCACGCGGTTAAACAAACTCCCACGATAAATGAGACATATTGTCATCTCTTCTTTCTCTCCTTTTTTTTTTTCTTTTCGCAAGGATGCCTTGTGAACGATAACACCCTCACGCTCGATCGAACGTACGGTGTCGTCGTTCGATTAATCCGCGGCTTGTCGCGATTGACCGCTTGCCCGGATTTCTGCCGTTAGTTCTACTACCGTTAATTACACGAATCATTGCCCGCGTTTCCACCTTTAATCTCGCTCGCGAACATCCGTGTTATAGAGATTCTGAGATTTCCGTTCCGATTTCACGTAGAGATTAAATATAATAATTTCTTTGTATGAAAAATTAATGTAGCAGTTTTATATACGCGTTTAATACGTCGTCTAGTATATTGGCTGCGTGATCTTCTCATTTGAATTGTTCCCCAATTGTCTTAATTATACCATTATGTGTTACATCAAGTGAGAGCGGAACGAGTACAGCGAGTAACAGAGTGTGTCTCCATTGTGTGTCTTTCTGTGAAAAATAAAAAATTACCAAGCTAAAATGTAAAACTGCTTTAAACTCTGTATCATCAAGTTTCAGCGTTTTGTTCGAGATTCTTCTTCGCTAATTAATCGTGATCTCATCGTGACCATGAATCATATCAGCTACATACATTCAGTTTCCACGTTGCATGCAAATATGTTGATATTGAGCGAGGACATCACTTATGCGGAAATAACATAACGTAACGCTCTTTTCTCTCTTTATGCTGTTAATATAAAATATTTAAGTATCACTTAGAACTTATGTTCCTTTCTGTTATTTTTTAAAAAGATATCTGTAGAAACGTAAAATAAGGCGTGCAAATTTATATCTCTCGTTGAAATATTACATGAAAAATATTACGTAACTTTTGTTCTTTCGAACATTATCTGCAACGGTGTTTATCGAATTCCGGCCAGTTTTTTTTTATTTACGGCTAACAGAGATAAAAGAATATGTTTGGTTTGTATTATTACACTTTCAAGAGTCTTACTGATAACACGCGGCGCCGATAAGTCACGAAGAAACGAAACATCGTATAGAACATACTTGTTTTTACCTTTCGACACGGCGCTCGGAGATGCTATTAAATTCTTCGCGAATGAATTACCGCTAATTGTACGAGGTTTCGCGAACGCGTATATTACCGTGGGAATATCCCGTAATTTCGCGTTTATTCGCGAGAACGCGCCTGCGAATAATCGGATAGGCGCGGGCGCGAGCGCGCGTCGAGCTTGACGCGATGAAAAAGTTCCACGCGGAAATAAATTAACGACTGGTTTATATATATATATATGCATATATATATATGCGCGGTGTGTCGTCATTATCGTCGGAATCAGGATGAAACACTTCATTCATCTATATCAAACGTCGTCGCACGATCTCATAAAGAGCAATACGCGACAATTTGCGAACACTAAAATCCTACGAAAATTACATGTAATATCTTTTCAATTATCGTAACAACGCAGTCACAGATGAGACACCGTTTTGTTCCTCGCTAAGTTAGTCACCCCGTAGTGTGACTGATAATGTCACATTTTTCAACTCACTTTTATTGACTCTTTTTTTGTGCTGTCACAAAGCTCGCATTCACACGCTCATTGTTTACAATCTAAGTACAATTATGTCTTGGACACACTAACAACATATAGTTTAAGTGTTATATTAATATAATTCTTTCTCTTTCTATAAAACGTAATATAGAAGAGCTTTAATACTTGTATCAATGCACTTAAACAGACGATTAGTCGCCGGACGTGAGTCGATTAAACTTCGAGACGCGCGCGACTCCGAATGAATTTATTATTGAGCCGCGTACTCGCCTTCATTCAATTACACCACGATCGCCGATCACGTCGTTTGAGCGAGCGACGCTCGCGTAATTAGTGAAACACCATCGTCGGCACTCTTTATTGACCCAATGCCGCGAACTTCTCGACAAAGACGGACTTTGTCGACGCTCTTCGCCCCTCCATTAATTAAGTCATGCTGCGACGGCGGCACAAGAAGCTCACGGTTTGTTTTTCGAGAGATGCTCGTGCAATGTGCGTACGTGTGTACGCGTGCGTGTGTGCACACGTGCTACGGGCGCATTTTAAGGGCGATTTCGCCGCGCGACTGAAAAAAAAAGTAGTTTGGCGCAAAGAAAAAAAAATTAAGCAATAAAAATCACAGAAACGGTAATTAAATACCATATATTTCTACATTAAACGCATAAATATATGAAAACAAAAAATAAACAAAAAAGAGAAATTTGCTCTGTTTATCTATTATCTCGTCCTCGTTGAATATGAACGTTTAATTCCGAAATATATGTTTTCTCTACGCAATTGTCTCTCTTGTCACTTGTGTGCCTCGTTGTGTGTGCAACTTATCCATAACTACAAAGTCAGCCCGCAAGTTCTGCGCCAGGTTTCGTCGCTGCTCCGCGACCTCTTCACAGCCCGATGTGCCTTTTTGCCCCTCTTGTTGAGATCACAGAAAAGCAATATAAAACGAGACCACCCTGAGAGAACGAACCCCTCAGCAACACCCCGCAGGAAAGTCGAGAATATTTTGCGATGCTAATCGCGAAGTAGACGCCGCTACTTTTCGTATACGAGCGCCCACGAATGTATTTATCCTTTGTTCGTCGCTCGACGCTTTGTATCTGTGTGATAATTTTAATCATGGACAGCCTCTAGGAACGTCACGAAGAGAAAGAGAGAGAGAGAGAGAGAGAGAGAGAGAGAGAGAGAGAGAGAGAGAGAGAGAGAAAGGTCTTAGATCTGCTTAGTCAGAAGAACAATTTTGCTAACACAAAGAAATTCGCACGTAGAGAGAGAGAGAGAGAGAGAGAGAGAGAGAGAGAAAANAGAGAGAGAGAGAGAGAGAGAGAGAGAGAGAGAGAGAGAGAGAGAGAGAGAGAGAAAGGGTCACGAGAAATCTCTTTTGAGATGAGACGTAAGAAAATCGATAACTCTTAACAGTGCAAGTTACGTAATACGTATGGAAGTGTTTATATATATCTACATAATATACGTAATATTACATAAGTACAAATTTATCGGAAATAATCACGCACACAGACTGAGTTATCGAAATTCCTACAGACTGAACATTATTGTAATCTAAAAATCTTAATCGCTCGAAACAGACTATAATTTACTTGCGTTAGGATTTGTAGTGTTTCAAATGCAAGCTATGATTGAGGTATTGTATTTTTAATTACATACTATAAGTATACACATACACACACACACACACAGACACACATATCAATTTCTTTTCTTGAAGAAGAAAGCGTCGAGTTCAATTTCTTCAAGAATAAAATCTGCTGTTACTGTTTTAGAGCTCTTTGCATAACTGCATTAAGTGCAAGTGCTTCGGAGATCTCTTTTCTTTCGAAGCGTCTGTCAGCAAGTGTCTCCGAAGAAGGACATTCGGCTACGTCAGCGCGTATCGTACCTATCTTCTTTGCCGGAGGAAATTATCGATTGATGCCCTAGCACCCCTCACATGTATATACACTCTCACAGCTTTCAGCCTTTCTCTCTCTTTCTTTTTCTCACTCTTTCTCTCTCTCTCTCTCTTTCTCGCTCTTTCATCTCAGCTCCTCTTCCTCTCTCCTCTTCTTTGCTTTCTCTTTTGCTCCTTCTGTCTCAGCCTAGTTTTCCTCTACGCTTTTGCCTCCGGCAGAAGGGTGCGTTCGTGCTAAACACTCACGTTTACGGGGTCGGAAGGGGCTTTATAGGACTCGGTTTATCCATTCGCGTTTTATATTTGTAATCCCTCTACCCTTAAGGTGTTTACGAAAGCTCCATTAATATTATGCTTATACAGTATAAGTGTGCGTTCGTTATCACATTGCATTGTATGTGTATGTGCGTTTATTTTGCGTAACACATGAATATTATTTTTAAACTAGATAACACTAGCGATTATATGTATAATGCATTACACATATAATCACTAAAATGTAAAAGTGCATTATAAATGCAATTTTTTTTTACTTTCATAGAAATAATTTTCTCATTATCTTCATGGAAATAATTTTCTTATAATTTTTTATAATTAATCAAAATTTTATAATTGATTATTTTTTAAATTGAAGGTAAGGTTATACATATACAGAAACATATAACTTATATTTTATTTATTTAGCTGATTAAAAATATGATATTTTTTATATTTTTTGCTTATGCGTTACATTAACATGTATATATTTTATTATAATATGCGCTTGTTACATATCGTTATTATATCGAATATAGAAAAGCATTCCGCCTGTGTTTTTTTTCCGAGTTTGGCAAGAACAATGGTCACAATTATTAACAGTACTAAAAGTTGACCCACGATGCCCATTTCAATCGCGCAACTTCTTGATTAAGACCAACAAGAAATTACCATTATACGGTGTCCGACAGACGGTCTTTCCACCAATGATCGTCCTTTCCCTGTCTGTATCTCTTCTGCCCCTTCGTCGTTTCATTCGTAATGTTCAGAGACGACGGGGGCACCAAGGACGATGTCCTTTTTGCAGACAATCTTCAAGGTTTAATTAAGGAACTTGGAAGAGCAGATGAACTCGATGAATGGGGCGGACGAAAACCGAAAGGATGGTATGGAGAGGAAGAAGAGAGAGAGAGAGAGAGAGAGAGAGAGGGAAAGAGAGAGGAAGATGAGAGATAGAAAAAGAATGCCAAATGTGTGTGTGTTCTCTACTAACCAGGGTCGAAGCACGCGACACTACTTCTTGGTCATTCCAACGTAGTCCGTATATGTCCACTCAACCTGTGTGCGCGCGCGCGTAAACGTTCACGCATGACAGCGCAACGCGTTTGTGTGTACACGGCTTTAAGAATTGCGCACCACCCTTGTTGTTGTTGGGGCGCGGAAAGCAAACACCCGTCTCGGCTCAATGACCGAGAGAGAAGGAGGATTATAAGTGAGAGACACTGATAGGAAGATAAGAAATTGCACAATCAATAAGACTATTTTCTTTTTTGTTTTACATTATAAACTGCAATACAATAGCAAAAAAAAAAAATAGAAATTGCGCAATCGGTCTCTCACAAAAGACCAAACCAAAAAAAAAAAAATAAATAAATAAATAAATAAATTACCTCATAAATATAAAAAAATATAATACGCAAAAAGGAAAGAAGAGAAATTAAAAACCGGAACAGTTAATCGTCACTAAAACTGATCATTAAAGATACGTTTTGCGAGATGGTTGAAAAGAGATTACGCGCATACTTCTTCTTCTAATGCCGACGATGTGGCTCGTTACTCTTCTTTGCGTCGATTTTTCTTTTATGCCGACTTTTTGAGTTCGAGTGGCGGTTTGCCAGACCCGTAATGTCGCTCTCGTACGATACAATTTCCTTTTTGATGTTCGTTACAATGGCACAAGAGTTCCTCGAGAAGCTGAAGGGGGAGCGCTCGAGCCTATGTCGATCGTCGCGTGCCGCCTATGGAAAGTCAGCGATTTAGAGTGTGAGGGTATCCGAGGGGTTAATGATGACGTTAGTTAATGACGGCGTCGCTTTGATGTCTCGCTCGTATAGTGGAAAAAGTCTCCCGCTTACGTAATTGTTTTGTAAACTGAGCGCTCGATGCTTTGACGGCGACGTCACGTGGGCGTGGGATTGAAATGTGGTGCGCGCTTAACGCGCTGGGGAAAAGTCTGTGGCATTTTCTCACACATGTACGAGTCTGCGGTCGATAATGGATTCCACGAGCGATTTAAATCGCTCGGAAATTTAATACCGATGCCGATAGCAATCGATGATTTAATTAGAAATTGCTTTTCGAACTTAATTATCGATCGAATCGATTGCTTTGACGATTATTGATCGATCGCTCTCGCAGGAATGTCAAAGATAATCAATACATTATGCATACCGTACGTATAACAAATAAAATTCATTAACGTAACGGAATTTTCAGTGCGCGAGTAAAGAACAAAACCAAATTCTCGTCATATTCTAGATATATAATTTCTGATATTTCATTAAGTTCACGTGAAATAAACGATAGACCGAAGATGAAATATATATATATATATATATATATAAGATTTTGTGCTTCACTTCTCATATAGAAGTTATATGAGAGCTGTGCAAATATCGCGCTCTCATCTGCCTTATGACACACTTATGACACATTTATTAGTCACTTAGAATCAATATATGCTGTTTAATAGAAGATTTCTCATTTAGAGAAATCATCATGCTTCGAACGTAGAATTGATCGTGTATTCATTCAGATTACTTTTACAATGTGTGTCACACGTAGTGATTTTATCAAATAAACATCCCCGGTATATAACACGTTTCTTCCGTTAGAGCATTTCTTAAACCTGCGCTTTCTCGCATCGTTATTTACGCGCGCTCGTACAACGAGAAGAAAATAATGAGCCGTGGATTTAACAGGTTAATTACATGTTATAAACTTACGTGTCCGGAATAATAACAACACTATGTCGGACAATTGCTGTCAGTTAAGCAAGATTTTTGCACGTACGGCACGCACGACCTTTGTTACTGTAAATGAGAACATTAATTGTGACTCTTTTTACATCAATCGACCGTTAGAGCATATAAACAGTTGATTTATATAACTACAGTTAACAGTCTGGATTTTTATTTAAGAATTACGATTATGTAATTAATTTTTTTTTGACGACGGCTAATTTTCGTTCGCGCAGAATTAAAAAAAACAAAAAGAAACGGAATTCACTTTATACAAACTTTATTTGATCCTTTTTCTGGATATTCTCGAAATCCAGTCAATTCGAGCGCCTTTGAACGCGGATACTCAACGCTTCGAGGGCGGCTGAATAGCCACCGATCCCTCTCTTCGTTCCTCCAATCAAATCCACTTGAAGAGAGACGGGATAACGAGAAATTCCACTATGGGCAAAGCGTTGCAGGAATATCTGGATATCCGATTCAATAAAAGGAAGCAGGAAGATGGCGAGGGCAGGAGTCATAAGTCGCTGGAGAGAGACGTGTTATATAGCGCTTCTCTCTTCCGCTTTTCCCGAGGGAGCCGTCGTTTACACGGTGTTTGCGGGGGCGCGACATTTATCTCCGCGCGAAGCGCAACAAAGGCGCGTAATGAGAACATGTGTTGGACGCAGGAGGCTTCATTAGCGTATCTGTTTCTGTTCTCGAAGCGTTCACTTAATCGCACGGAACGCGCTGATACCAAGATGTGCGATTTCTTTTTTTACTCTGAGAGTCTTTTGTAAAATTGTGCTGAAAGTCGAATGTTTCTTCCAATCATGAATATTAAAAGAAAATAAAAACAAATTGTATTCAAAACAAGTTGTATTCAAATATTGTCACCTTTCGATTTACGAACGATCGATATTTAACAATTCTTAGAAATTAAGACGAATTTGTAATTGCACATGTTGTAATAGAAACTTCTGAAGTATTTTATTGATTTGTCATTAACACGCATTTCTTTTTCTACAGTTTAAATAACAAATTACTCAAGTCGTTACAACTTGGCAGTTCACGGTGCAAACTTAGCATTAATTTACAATAATAATATAAATTTTAATAGTCGTCAATATTTCGTCGTACGATTGAGTAATATTTCTGCTTGCAGTTTGCGTCGGGGACCAGGAGCTAATGTGCAAGACGCTAGTGGATATTCAGCCCTTCATCATGCAGCTCTGAACGGACATAGGTACAGTATCTCGAATTAGTGTTGTCAAAACCGATCAAAACCGCGATTAAAAATTTTTAATACTTTTATCATGTGGCTATTAATAATTCGTCGACGCTTAATTCCTTCAAGTCAATCTACATCTGTCAACTTGTCTGATATTTTTCGGAATAATCTTTTACAGAGACGTGGTCAAATTACTTCTCCAATATGAGGCTTCCACCAACGTAGTTGACGCTAAGGGTTCTTCGCCGCTTCATTTGGCAGCTTGGGCGGGGGACGCGGAAATTGTGCGATTAATTCTCAGCCAGGGCCCGTCGGTGCCGAAAGTGAATCTTGCGGTAAGTAGCGATTTCAAGTGTCGATCCCCCAGAAGTTCTTTGACAGTGTAGCTGCTATAAATCACTTTAGAACGCGCAGTATATTTCATATTAAAGATTTATATGAGAAGTTCCATGCGCGCGCGTGTGAATCACTTGAAGAAGAATTCTAAGTCTTTATATTTCAAAAAATCTTAAAATCAATTTTACCTTAACAAAAATAGGTTAAAATAAATATTCAACTAAACATAAACTTTCACATACAAAATAATCAAATTTATTGAGATCAAATGTTTTCAGTATATGTAATTTAAGTGAAAATAATATTATGTGTTATAATTTCATATGAAAACACTAAGTGTTTTTTAAAATTATTCTACTGTTGATATAATTCAGAATAAAATGTAGTAATTTATACTTCTCGTAGCAGTATATAAATAGTTACAAAAAATGTGTAGTAGCGCTACCACTTTCCTCTCAAAGTTAAGTTTTGTTGATTCGGTGTATAAGAGAATAGACCGAGCGAACACACATTCGGTTCATGTGTAAAATATATTTGTTTCTTGGAGAGATTCTGCATAGTTTTGTTCCAAAATCCTACTCTATCCGATGAGTTGGAGTTTGGGACACAGTCCAGCATGCGGGATATCGGTCTTTCTCTTCTGCCATTGATAAAGTTATTTATTTTACATAACTGAATACATAAAATTAAAATAGGTTAAATAACTGAAGAATTATGTTGAAATATATTTCTTCATTCACAATATACGAACAAAAATATTACATAACCATTTCTTACAAGTTATTTTAACTACCTTTTTGCGTTTTAAATATTTCTGAAGTTATCTGTACATTATACTTAAAGTTCAAACAACAAAATATAATCTATATTAAATATAGAATCAAATATTTAACATTTCTAGTCTGTCAGACAAGTAACGTACGACGATATGAATAAGTTTTACTCGGAATTTAAAGTGGATAAATATAAAAAATATTACCATTTAATTAACATTTTATTTTTTCCTATGTAACTTCGCGAACGTCAATGTGCATCATTCAAAAAACTCCAAATATCGATTTTGGTTACAGACAAAGGATAACGAAACTGCACTGCATTGTGCGGCGCAGTATGGACACACGGAAGTAGTGGCACAGCTGTTGCAGTACGGATGCGACCCTAGTATCCGCAACAGCCGCGGAGAATCTGCGCTCGACCTCGCCGCACAATATGGCAGGTAAATTGCACGTGACTATTTTTTTGTTTTTTGTTTTTTGTTTTTTTTTTTTTTTCAACGATACGTATCAGTTAGAGAGATATGCAATTTCTCATATAATATTTTATTCGAATTTGCGAGAATTAAATCAGAATAATTTCTTCGATCTTTCACGTATTATCTAGGACGTATTACTGATGCGACGTAATCGTGATATTTTTTACAGATTGGAAACAGTGGAATTACTCGTGCGAACGCATCCCGAATTAATTGAATCGCTTCGAAATTCTTCCTCGTCTCTGATCTTCCCGCATACACCTTTGCATTTAGCTTCGCGCAATGGCCACAGGTAAGAGTTTCTTCACTGACGTATAAGAAAGTGATTTCCGACAAAAAGTTTTAAGAAGTTTCATCATAAAACAATTTTCTGATATGCTAGCAACCTCGATGATACATTACATTGTATTCCATGTTTCGTGTAGTAATGTAGTTGGCTGTATCTTACTGTAGCGGAACGGATTATAATGGCGCCGCCGTCGGTTGGGCATTCGTTTATGTTTACCTAAGGACCGCGTATCGCTTCTTCCCGCGAAATGGTCACGCTAATTACTGGATAATGCGTACCGTGTATTGTGCCCGAGTACAACAATGGACTCGTTCGTGCTAACCATAACGATGTCGAGCCATTTGCAGCGCTGGCCATTAGAGCCAATCAGAGAGCACCGCGTTGCGTAATCCCGTCGAATGCGATATATGCGTCCTTCGACTGGCATGATCCGATCCAACCCTACTGGTTACACGTCCCATATTACCGTCCTGTCGATTGCCCTCTCGTCCCTCCTCGAGCCACGCGAATGCATCCGATCGCATCACGCCAGCAGTCGCTCTGTCCATCCGTGCGGATTGCTGACCGCCTCCCGATTACGAGAATCGTATTAATCATTGCCGCCGAAACGTATCGACCTATATTAATCGCGACCGTAACAGCGAACGGATTCTACACCGGTAGTGAGATACCTATTGTCTGCGTCTCGAAAAAAAAAAAATATCAGGTTCTAGTGGCACACTATCTACCAGAGATATCATACTATATATATAACGAGTAAAATAAGTCACCAAGTACTGAACTGGAGTGGAAAGCACTTTCTATGTGGGATACATAATGCCGTAATCATAATCGTGTATCTTGTGTAATATTATTCGATTAATTGAACCGCATAATAGGATGACAAAGAAGTAAGCGGATAATCGATTACATCGAGCCATATGATCAGGTGACGGAGATTAGTAACGCCGTTATATATTCTTCAGTAATTATAAAAGATTTCTTGTCTCTTTGAAATCACGGCAATAACTTTTTAACTCGTCATCCGCACGCCGTGTAACATATCCGTTACGTAGTTTGTTCGCGATTCTCGTTTCACATTTAACATTTGGTGTCGAGCGATACGTTCTCGTTTAACAGGGCGATGCTAGTCTGTAATCCACCTGAGCTTTTTGTATAATCGGACGCTACGGAGACGTGAACGGTGGATAGCGAGTGGGACGGGACGGTCGTAACAGTCCGGTTGGCGGTCAAATCGAATCGTGAATCGCCACGAAACGGCAGTCACATTGTAATCGGGTATAACGCCGGTTTTTCTATGCAGCCTCGCAGCCGGTAATCGCTTTAACCGGCGCTTGCCGCTTATAATGCGATCGTATCGCGATATACAGTCCGGTGGCTGCATTTTCCGTCGATGCCGGCGCGAGGGTGCAGCAGAATTGGTCCGGGAGTGACGGTAGTGCGAGTGTGGGGTAGTAGCGTGAGGGAGAGAGCGAGCGAGCAGAACGTGACATTTTATCGCTCGAATTTTGGTTAAATAACGGCGCGTGAGACGTTTGCGCCTGTACGAGTGCGAACGCGTACGCACGAGCTGTTTGAGCGTTTTGGGCTGAATCAGTGTTTCTCAAACTACGGCTACCGTAAAACAGCGTATGGTGAAGAATAACATGATAAAAAATAAAGAAAATACGAATCTTTTTTTTTTTTTTTATTTCTGCAAATATGAATATAAATTTCGACTGTTTGAGAATAAATTCTACTTGGCTGGATTTATTTTATTGAGTTTATTTTTGTGAATTGTGTGTAATATATATAGACATCGCGCAGAGTTTGAGAATCTCTGAAAGAGGTACATGCGATGCACACGAGCACGTGTGAGGGGTGCGTACATTGCGACGGTAGGGCTCACGCACGCGTTTCACACGCGCACCACGTTATTTAGTGTATCTACCAGTGCAGTGCTGTACGGGGCTAGAGAGCAGAAGGGAGGAAGAGGGGGAGGGAGAACGAGACGGTTGATGGCAGAGAGAGAGATCAGTTTGGTGAGGTGGGGCGGACGTGGAGTAATGTCTATTATCGGATTCAATATCGGTGCTCTCGGTAAGCCAGTATACAAATACCCCTATGCTACGGTAATAACAACATAGGTGCATGCGAATCCGATCTTCAGCCGCCAATCCTATATGTGATGGACGGCTGCGGTCACCACAATCGATGCACCGGCTAGAAGATGGACGAAATCTGCGTTTTGAGCTTTCGATTAAGCGCCGGTGGCAAATGCGGTCTTTCCGATGAACTTTTAGTGGTTTGTAGAACAGCTATGTCACACACACGGATCGAGATATTCCGATCACGGAACCTTGACTAAAATTCTGAAACCAATCTTGCTCCATTCGAAATGTATTATAGAGCTCGACTACATACGTATAGTCAACGGATTATTACTCTATTTTCCATTAGTTTTCAGGACCGAGTTTTCTTCTTATTTTGTTTAAAAATAATAAAGCACGGAGATTTTTTTTATAACAGCATAATATAATCCTATTGTAAACAAATGTGTAATACAGTTATTCTAAATAATTAGGTACTGTGTGAAGCACACACTTATTTTACTATAAATTGTACAAGTTCGTACAATTACGATCTACGCTCGTTTGTGAAACGTGAGATAAAATATAATGAGATGTTCGCATAATTTTGTTGCAGAGCTGTGGTGGAGGTTCTTCTTGCCGCTGGAGTTGATGTCAATACAAGAACGTCAGCGGGTACGGCGATGCACGAGGCCGCGCTCTGTGGCAAGATGGAAGTGGTACGGGCGCTTTTAGATCGCGGAGTGGATTTGGGCATTAGGGACTGTCGACAAAACACGGTGCTTGATCTTCTGGGACAGTTTCCGCCGCACGTCACTCAAGATATCACGGCGGTGATAAAAAGTACGACAGCGTTTCGCATGTAATTTATTTTTGTAGCGTCATGACCGATATACTGAAGGATTCATGTAATTAGTAAGTTTTTCATCGAGGCAAACGTATGTTTTTTTTTTACGTGGCGTTTAATTAAATCGCTCTTAACTAAATACGTAAAGATTTGCGTGTATTTGCATAACGTTGTAATTATGTACAGCATAAGAGCTAGTAATCTTGACCTCTGCTTCCATATACATATATATATATATATATATGTATATATAATGTGTATGTGTGTATATATTATATATCAGAAGCAAAAATTACGTTGAATATTTGTAACTAATATATTTCCATTTAAATGAATTAAAATTAATTTAATTAAAAGTAGGGCACATTAAATTAAAAAAAAATATTTTAAACTTTCCAATTTAAAGTTTTGTTATTTTTTATTATCGTTTATTTTTTTATGTTTGCGATCGAGTTTGTTTTACTAATTGTTGCATTCTTATTTTATTAGACTTGTTTCTCGTAACTCTTGCAAGTCAATTTTACATATGTGTATGTAATATATTTTATTATTGATTTTAAACAGGGCATCGGTCTTCCTCCGGTGTGGAAAGCGACGCTGACAGTGAGAATTTGCCGCCAATTCCAGTGCAGGGTGGCGACTCATTGGGGAGCCCCTACGAAAATGTTCGCCCGGGAGACGAACTCTCCCCTGCGGAAGGTACATCGCCTACTCAATGGCAGTTCTATCACAAGCCTCGGGATGACGATCGTCGAGTTTCCGGCACTTCCGTCATGTCCTTGTGAGTACTTTTGTTTATTTTGACTTGTCGCATGTTGTGCAATGCAGTATTTTTTTTAAAACGTACACGTTGAACTTTTTTATATTTCCTCTTTATAATAATCACACTATCATACGAAGTAAAACGATATATGCTTGTACAGAGATACATATTCGTAATATTAGCAAGAGATATTAATTCGGTAGTACCCATATATATATATATATCAAACGAAATATTATGAGAAGTATATATGTAGGTATATATACCATCGGTAGGATGATATGTTTGAGATACACTGTATAAACATTACGTTTCCACGTACGTAGAGATTAGAATATTAATTAACATCTACTTTTTTCGGTAACGTAAATGTAAGGATAAAAATTGTTTTGAACAATTACATCATTACACCGTACATATATTTTTTCTTGCGTATTAATAGTCAAACGGATCGGGACTTCGCGAACGGAATATAGCGTGAGAGAGTGTTCTTTTCATTCAGACCATTTTTGTAGAAATATTTCTGAAGGAGTAAAAATCGCGATGATATTGCATTGGATGAGCACGGAGGCTCGTAATATTTTGCAACAGACTTGGTATAATATAGATGCGCGCACAACAGCCGCGACTGGTGCTTTAATATAGGAAATGTTATACAAACAAAAGCGTAGACGTGGACGGAGCGCAGAATGAATGAGTGAGTGCCGGCCAAGCACGGTTGTTGGTGCTAGCGTTGCTGTTCCCGCTGCCGCTGTTACCCTGCAGGAAGTGGAGAAGGTTGGAGGTGGAGATTCTCGGACCGAAAAGGGAACTGAATATGGGGTAGCGCCGGGGGTTGAAATGTGAAGGTAGAGGAAGAGGTTGTGGAGGAGGTGGCACGGCCGCGTGTAGCCCCAGCGCGTTAAGCACCGCTTGGCTTGGTTTAATTTTCCTGATGTAGGCAGGCGAGATGGTGGGTCCGACCGCCTCGTTCGCCCCTGGGTCACCCCCGCTGCATCACCCTATTGGTACTCGGTGCCAGTACTACTACTCTAGTCGGCTAAGCCCGACTGGTTGGCTCGGGATCGCGAGCGAGAAAGAGAAAGACGACGGTAAGAGTGATAGAGAAACGATGAGGGAAAAGTGGAGAGTAAGGCAGCGAACGAAAAGAGAAAGAGGGACACGCGATATATACATGAGGAGGAGGAGGAAAAAGGGGAATGAGAGAATGTAGGAACTGCCGTTGATGTTCCTCACTTCCACCATCAATGTTTGACGTCGGTAGCCCCAGCTTGGCCGCCTCAAAATGAATCCATCACGTTAAACAATGTAAATGTTAGCCCGTCTCAGCATAAAACTAATAACCATTGCTCTCTACCTTGCGCGCTGCGAAAGTGCGGCCTCCGCAACCTCTAGAGACTACCGGTTTCTTTTTCGCTTCTATTTCTCATGTTCGTCGCTCCGTTCTCGTCGACGTGGCATTAAAAATTTGGCACTTGCCAGCGAGTATCTTTAACTGAGTTGTGTTCTGTCAAAGAAATCAATTATTTTTTTTTCAATACGATTTACATTTACATTTTTACATAAAACAATTATTTTTTTTGCTGCTTGCTTTCGTGACTGTTCTTGACGGAAACATATAAGTCACTTAGCTGTGTTTACGATAAATGACACAATATTTTAAATACCAATTAAAGTTAATAAAATTATATAAACAAAGATATAATACCATTACTTTTCTTCAGAAATATATCAAATTAGGCGATAATTGAATATTAGCTATAGCCAAATATCTGCGGCTTAATCGATACGTGAGATTATGTTGCTTGGCTTTCGATGTGCGGTTGACTGCTGGTAATTGACAGTTGACGTACCGGGATGCGCGTTTCAGTGAAGACGAGCAGAACGGGGAACCGGTGAACGGAGTACGGAGGACCCTCCAGCAGACAGAGGACTCCGACCCCAGTTCCGTCTTCGACAGCGTCTTTATGTCCCTATCCGACACTCTCAACTCTATAAATACTCTCGAAAGTTCTGAACAAACTCCTGAAGATATACCACAAAACATTACAAAAAGAACACCACTACCACCCGACACTACACGGTAATAACATGCAAACATTTCGCACTGTATAGTTGCACTAGATACGAGTACTTAACATTAAATCACTGGTTTCCAAGGTAGTCGGCAGTAGCTTACATGCAACTTGTACATAAAATACTCGCTAACAGCTATATTTGATGTGTCGCTCGAGAACCACGTGTAAATATTGTATTTTAGATAACTAGTTTTGTGACGTATACAATAATATAAACAATAGCATATAAGCGTGATCTAAACAAGATTTTTTTTATGATTACACGAGCGAAAATGTCGCTGAAGTTTGGAACGTTCGTCGAGCGAAAAAAATATGTTTTGACAAAGACTTTCCGGAAACTTCTTTTGTGGCAAAGCGAACATATATCACATTTTATATCTATTGATATAATAATAAGATCGTTACTTTTGACTTTTTTTGCATTATGTATTTATGTAATTTGTTAGTGCAGATTGGTATATGAAGGAAAGTGTTTTTGAAAGATATGTACCATCAGTTTCTTAGAGCGTTAATACATTTGATAGAAAAAAAAAATACTTACATTACCTGCTCGATAAAAGCGAAATATATATTTTCGCTCGAAATATGTATTTTCGAACGTTTTGCACTTCAACGACATCGAGCAAAAGCATTTCGGACATTCTCGATCTGTCGAGTCGATTTATCGTCGACTAATAGATCGCCGATTGCTTTGCCACTGAGATCCGGAGTTTTGCTCACACAGAGGTTCCGACAGTGGGCTGTACCAAACTCCACCAGTGCCACGTGGCACAATGGAGGGTAGCTACGTGTCGGAGGACCTGTCCTTGACATTGCCCACGGGATACAGTAGAGAGTCCGACCAATTGAGCGTGTCGTCATCCTCGAGCGTCGGCGGACCGAGCCCACGGGATCGTCGTTGTTTACCCAGCGATTCCAGCGGCATTTACTTGCCAATGGCAAGTCCCCTGTCCAGCTCGCTACATAGCTCCGCTTCCAACAGCAAAGTCTCGGTAAAAAATCTCAATCAATCCGAATTATCGTTGTAAATGCGTATTTGTGAAAAAAAATTACGAATATATGTGTCAAATAGAAACGTCGGAAAGAGGAAAAATTGATGTTTCTTCAAATATAAAACTTTAATGTGGCAAAAAATATCTTTAAAACAAAAAAATTTTTTTAAAATAAAAATTGTCGAACATGAAGAAACGTTCGCTTGTTCTTCCGCAGCCAACACCGCCCAAGAAACCACCCAGGCGAAATCTCTCGGTATCCCCAACGCACTTGCAGACACAAATGTCTTTATCAGCCGACAGTTCGGTCGGGCCGAGCAATTACGAGTATTTGTTCTTGGCGCGCACCGGCGCGCGAAGTCACATCGATCTTGAGCAACTGCAGAAACGGCGGGACCAGCTGCGACACGTCACTCGAAGCGTGGAGTACGTGGAAATGAAATCACGACTGGTCGGAACGGATGAGGAGCGCGAATCTAACGTGGAGCCGGTGGCTATAACGTCCATTTACGAGAACCGACCGGTGAAAATGCTAAATCCGCGTAGAAAATTACGCAGACACGCTTACGACAGCTACGAGCCGGAAAGCAATCCGTACGCCGACAAGTCACCGTGCAGCGACGGCGATGCTGTGATTCAGGAGCAAACGTTCGTGTCGAACGCATTTCTCACTCTTAAGTCTTCCCAGGAGAGTCTACTCGATGAAAAACGCGAGATCGACGGGCAAATCAATTTGGAGAATCGTGAGGCCACCGACAAGCGTCTCAAGCGCGTGCAAATGATGCTGCCAACCAGTCCTACACACTACGTTCAGCCACCCACACCTGACCATCCACCGCCGTCCGCCATGCAAGCGGAAAAGTCCATCCATGAACGTATACGTCCGCTCAGTCAGGTAAGTGATGAGACCGTCACGTATGTGAATAATTATTGTTCCACGCGAGGTCACAGTATGTTGGCGCAGATAGCGAGCAGTTAATGACTATAGTCACTAACACGATAACATCTCATTACGACTTCCCGGCGCAACGCAATTTTTGTTTTCACGTTTTGCTCATCGCGAAAACAAAATTTCAAAAGAAACGCGCAATAATTTTTTTCCTTCTCCCGACATCTCGGAATTCTTTGAGAAAAAAATAAATCTGATTCAGAGAAAATCATATCGATGATGTGTATGAATGGATGGTTCTTAAACAGCTCTAACGTCGTTTCTGATCTCTGCATTAACTCGAGCAAGCGTGCGTACAAGATTCTCGATTTCCCGCGAGAATTCCGCAGTTCATTTCAAACGGCAGGCAAATGGGAAGCGTTTCTGCGACTTGTCGCGTGGTATTCGGCAAAAGCGCGACGTTCGCAATTCCGCATTCTCGACTGCTTCTCAGAAATACGCAGTAGACGCGCTTGACGTATGCCATCGCGTCTCATGTATGTCTCAATACTGAGATATATAATTTTCGTTGATATGCATTAGATCGCGATTGAAAAAATTGACAAAATTTGCAGGGAGAAGAAGAAAGGATACGCGAAACTATATATGGATATCTTTAAAATATTCGTCAACAGACCGAAACCGTCCTTTAAGGTGCTTGTACGCAAGAATGAGGAGCGCGCTCGTTAAGAGTCGCCATTAACGCTCTCACTTGACCTGGTGCCTTGGACAGTAGATAAGCAGTAGTCGACGTGGCGTCTTACCAGATTACGTTTAATATACAAACTGTGTTTGATCTGTGATGCGATTTACAAGGAGTCAACCCTCCGTCTCTCCTTCCCGGCCGCCACCGGTACTGCCTTCGGCCTGTCTCGCTCGTTTGCTGCCGTTTGCGCGTCGCCCTATGATCATTCTGCTGTGAGACCGACTACGTTCAGTTCCCATCTACCGCGAATGGATATCCATAGCAGCACCACATAGCTTCCAGCATACTCTTACTTCTCTCTCTTCCCTTCCCCTTTCTCTCTCTCTCTCTCTCTCTCTTCTCTCTCTTTGCTCTTTCCACAGTGTCTACGCCATCCTCTCTCGGCTTCACTTCTGTCGTTCCCTATATGCATTCGCAATCCGTGTCTTTCAGTCGACTATACACGCTTGACGAAATATCACGCAGTGAATATATCCGGAAAGGAGTCGGCGAAGACGATGCGATACAGCCGGTGGCGCCGCGCAGCATCCGTTTGCTTGAGAGATGATCGATGTCTTCATCATGTGGATCGTCTGTTTGGTAGACATGTGTACCCTTCCGCGGCGCGTTTCATACATTCTTTCTGGTGCTTGATCGCTTATAAATCCTTTGCTCTTCGCATCTTTTGTAATATGCGATACAAAATGTTTTAAATTTCTAAATTTATTTAGTATGATACATGTCTTATACGAAATCGAGTATCTATCAGAGATATCAAAAATTCGTGATTGATTTTTATGTCACAATGCTACATTCGAATAAAACCGAAAGATGATTGGAGAAATCATTTTGGGAAAGCGCTAGCGTCGCGCGACATCATCGATTTGCGATTGCACGTTGAGGAGCATATTCTCATTTCGTCGAGCGGCTGATATGATTCGATGACGGGAATCGAACGATATTACGGAAACTGAAGACAGCCGGCACATGAGAAGGCAGAGGGTCTCCATGAACCTCTCGTAGAGGACGTAGGGAAGAGAGACGAGAGAACACCGTCTACGGATGGTTGCTTCTCACCCGTCAACTTCCGCGAATCCAGTAGAGCGGCAGAATGCAAGACGCCGACACCCTTTGAATAATGAAGCCCTCGGCTTCTATGCCTGTCTGACTTCGCCTCGCGAGTGCTCGTTCTCCGTTGCCATAGGAGAGAGAGAAATTCGCGAATTTGTAGCGACGGTTTCCGGCTGTCTCCTCGAGACGCTCTCGGCGTTTTGCAGATGATACCGCGAGTGTCTGTCGGGACCGTAACGTCAAATTTTAATTGCGTTAGAGCCTTTCTGGAACGCGCGATGAAATAGCGAAACTGTCATCTCGCAGTGTGCGCTTAGTAAATCAAAACGCCGTGCTCCCTTTGAACGTAATGCAATTCTCATAGTTTATACGAGCACACATTTCTAGTAAACATAAATGACGTGATATATTGTGACCGCTGCTTATAGTTTGTTATTGTTCCGTCATAGAGACAGAAAAAAATACGTACATTGAAAATATTCACACGCGTGTCTTTAATTAATTTTTAGCACACTAGAGTCATACATCGTGCACTTTTTGTACGTAAAAAATTTATTTTTCTTTTTTTTTTTTTTGACGCGCAAACAATTTCGATATGTAACTGCGTCGCGCGATTATTGCGGCAGCAATTTTTTTTGTGGGCCATAAAATTCGAGGTGCTGGAAAAATCATATTATATTTGTCATTTATGACTTGCCGTCAATAGAATTGAAAGAATTAATGTCAAAAGGTATAGATTTTTATTCGAATAAATATGCTTTAGATTGACCACGCGTATTTATTTTCCCTCCGATTTACATGGCATATTTCTCGCGTGCCTGCGCCCGCGCGCGGACGTTTCGTTTCAATAAATTTTTATCGTTATAGGATTGGCTTCATTTTTTCATCGTGTGATTTGCTGCCCGTGAGCGGCGCGACACAGCTCGCGGGGGAATTTTTTTTTTTGTGTCGACTGTAAATATCCGTGTATAAAATACGAATGTTGACAATTTCGCGATAACGGCGATGCGGCGCAGAGTAATAGTGGTCGCGAGCAAATTGTAAAACGTGACTGTCATAAATCGAACAACACTATATCAGCGCGGGTTTTCACGGGCAGATATTGGCGGACTCAGAAATTGAAACGCTCGTTCTCGTAATATTTGTCTCGCAATATCATGTAACGGACTTCGAGCGAGGAGGAAGAGGAGGAGGAGAAGAGAGTTTTTGCCATTTTATTTCACATGCCGCTAATTTGTCGATAGGTATACAAACGAAGATCCCGCGACATGGAGACAGAAACCGACGAGGATCTGTTGCAGTTTCCCACCGCTGGATCACTGGACGCGTCTAGCGGCTCGCTCTCTAGCGTGTCTCTGTCCGACAAGAGCATGTCCACTGACAATGTCGAGGAGTATTTTGGCGACGTGCCGTTTGCAGGTAAACAGCAACGCACGCTTGGCTGCACCGCATGACGCTTCTTTCTGCCCACGTGTACATGCATAACCGTTGTGTTACGTTTCTGTCTTTTTACCGTCTGTCTCAAACACCGCTAACGCGGCAAACTGGTACGTTTCTTTTGGGGACGCACTTTCGAAAAAGTCTTCTGACTTCTTCGTCTTAATACACGTTATGTGTTGTCGTTCATTCATTATTGTTGGCGGAAATTGCAGAAAATTGTAAGGCGAAAGTTGTACATATGTACAGTGGCACCCAAAAACCATCATAGGGTTTGAATACTGCAATAATATTTTATGTATTAAGTTGTATATTTTCGTCTTTTTTTATTATTAATATTATTAATATATATAACATATATATTTACGTGATTCTTACGTAGGAGTATTATCTTGCTAATGTGCGACCTGGAAGGTTTAACAAATGTAAAATGATTGCATTAGAAAATTGTTTTATCATTAATTATTCCCTGATTCGTCGTTTTTATATTCATCTTGTTTAACTTTTGGATGCAAAAAACATCGAAAGAGAGTAAAAGCTTTATTTTATATCCAGTGTAATAAAATGTACAAGAATGAAGCAGCTGGTCTGCGCATAGTATTTCTAAAAGATATGTTCTTAGAACAATTATATACATTATTTGCAATTTAAATTTATTCCGACATATATAGTTGCTTGATTACTTAAGTTTGCATATGAGATTGTTTTGCATCGCTACTTCCGAGAAGTTGAGATAAGAAGACTTCATAAAAGACATATTTTAGCATATTACTATGCATAAGAGTTATGAGGTATTACATAAAGTATTAAAGATAATTGTATACTATGCATGTTTTTCTTATCAAGTTTTTTATCTTAATATAAATTTTATTTACACGTTTATTGTTTATATTTTAAAGTTTCGTCGTTTTGTAATATACCGTATCACACAGGCGAACCTTCCGGGTCCTGCTCCCAAAAGAGAAAATAAATCGCACGCAAGACAGTTTAGTCCCCGACAGAAGGGAGACTATTTCGTACAATACGCTACATAGATCGTCGTTTAGTTCGATCGATTTGGGTGCTCTTTTAGCACACGAGGAAAATATACCAGAACAAAAATATAATATCCGAATTTATCGATAGAAGTTCGCGGTCCGTTTTATCAGCCGGTTTTCTTCGATTTTCGGGCAGCATCAATATGGAATGTAGTCGATGCATCTACTTTTCCGAAATGGCTCCGGTCTTTTCGCTGTAATAAAATCTGTCGGATCTGGATTTCAATCTTTGCCGACGTAAAGCGAACGACGTGCTGCGCAAGCACAATCGTTGCGCAAAAAAAAAAAAAAGCTAACGATTCGAGTTCGTTATTCAAGCCGGCTCGGTACTCCCGGTTATCGGTAGTTATCCCCGGCTAATCTAATAGATTAGGCGGAGTTCTTCGTAACGCATGATAATTCGTAGAAATCCTGAAAACGAAGTACGTATCAACTTCCTGTGTCGTCGTGTAGAAATATTAGGGATCTTGCGCATGCTAGGATTAGAAAGTAAATAGTTCCTTACATTGTTAACATATCTTGTTATCTTATATCAGTACTTGTTGTGATGTACATATCGATATAATCCTTGTATTACATGTCTTCAGTTTTATCTTTGCGTCAATCTGTCAGACATGTTTACGAGACGAATCAGGTATCGAGTGTGTCGCCCAAATGTTACTTGACATAAGTGGTAAATATCTTAGCTAGTCTATTACACGTAATTGTCATTAAAGTTAAAAAAAATGTTTAATGATTCCACTCTATAATATTATATGCACAAAATATAGCAAAAATGTTATTTATACATTATTTATCTCACGTTATTACAGTTTTACAAAACTATAAAATTGTTTTATGAATAGTTTAAAAAAACGAAATGTGTTTATATGATGGTTGAGAATTTTGTGATATTTGACGTTAACTGATGTGAGTCGTACAGAATGCACGTGAATTGCGTAATTTGATAGGCAAAGAAAGAAAATTATTAACGCTTGAGAGGATCAAATTGAAAAAAAGTTAAAGATTGGAAAAAGACTGGATATTATACTGCAAAAAGAATATGAGTTGTTACATGCGCGTTTTGTATAATTAAAATATATATTATATATTTCAATCACCAATACAAAGTAGGTATACGTTCTACATTTATATAATACATTGTTACCTGTTATAAATACGTTTTGGATAATTATATGTATCTTTATTGATATATTTCTCGTTTCTAACATACTAAATATATATAATATATCATTATCTCTCTCTGAATATATTTAAAACTACAATATTTGAGATATATATATTATACCCTCTATACGAGCGTTGAATATTACTGAATATTGCAACTTTTAAATCTTACACGTTCCAAATCTTACACTTTACGATACTATAAATATTTAATTGCATTGCAATAATTTTTATCTTTATTATATACATATACATGTATGTAATCTTTGATGGTGTAATTTATATAAAGTATATACAATATATATTACAATCATATATACATTTGTGCTTTAAAGATAATTGATGCAATTTTTAGTTACAAAGTTTACGAAGTATGAAACTTCAAAGTTGTGATATATTCTGTGGTCTTTTAATTCGAATTTGAAACATATCACTCTAAAATGTGGAGGAGACATGTTACTCGACACACATTAAATTTTTATCTGACAATAATAATACATCTTATTTTGCGATGAAATAAATATTTTATTTTGCGTCGTATGCGCTTCGTCTCTGAATAATGGCTCTGATGTATACGTATATATAAAATTATATAAATATGCGCGATATATATATATATACATATATCTACACAATCTAAATTTAAGCAATTATAGTGCATTATAATATCCTTGATGTGCTAATAAACGTTATGCTGCTATTGTATGCGATGTCTTGAATCATTTTGTCGCTTCTGTTTCTCCTCTGAGCTTTCGCACAATTTCTTAGTCCTTAATGATAATACAGTAGTAGTTCGCAAATTTTCATCATATTTTTGATTTATATTATCTTTATTATTCAGTATACATAAAATAGAGGATAATCATTCTAGAAAGTTAAAACTTATTTTTTCTCCCTTCCACGCGTCCCAAATGCAATATAATGTGGTAACAAAATATATATACATATCTCGATTTTTGAGCACGTTAGGACATTCTCATCCATTTTTCATGAAATTTAGTATAGAAAGTTAAAGAGTAAATATTTTATCTAATTAAAATATTGAATTTGTCCTTTCTTTTCTATATCTTTCTCTTGTACATATTCGATTCAAGAACCTATGATTGTTTAAGAGCACAATAATATTCTTCTTATAATATTTCTTATAATATTTCTAATTGACCTAGAAACAAATAATGATTAATCCCCAAAATGTGTACATGTGTGTGGGTGTGTGTGTGTGTGTGTGCGTGTGTATGGAATAAAAATAATGACTAAATATATTTGTTAATACGTTTGCTAAAGAGGATATTATTTGTAATGATGCGCGAGAAATTTCGCTGTATTTATATTTTACGTATGCATGTTGGTTTTTATTTTATTAACTTCTGTGGTTGTGAATATTACATGTGAGTTTTTAGTGGTCATTTACAGATTAATTATTTTTCTTTTTTATTAATGTTGTATATATTTGTTGCGTTTGATGTGAATACGAAATGTGGAACTAAGACTTATATGTGTAACAGAAAATAGAGAATAATAAGTAAAAAAATAAATCCGAACTAGAGCAAGGTGAGTCCTTCATGAGTGACAAGTTGAGTTAAATTGAATTGAGTTTAAATTAACTTCGCTGAACATATCATCTACGCGTAATAACAAATAGAATTAATACAATTTTTCGTAACATCATACATATACATGTCGATTTTTTCTTCAAAACAATGGTTTTACGTAACCTACGTCTTTTAACACTCAATTTTCTTTGCACAAGTTATGCGATGCGATTGCGTCACGTATTTTTCTCACGTTCCGTGCGAGTCCGCAGAAACGCGAAGTAGATAAGTACACGCGAGTGCAGAATATCCACTGATAAGACTGCATCAGAACTCAAGTGCGGTCTTTATCGAAATCCATATAAGTTATCCATAATCTTTTCCAGTGAGAAACTCGATATTCTCTGTTATCAACTTGATTGATATGACTAATCTTTTAGTTGCCTTTAGTTAAACAGCGAGAGATATAGTTTGCTATAAAAAAATATGCTTATCGAAAAATATCAAACTTGTTGCGATTGATACTTTATTTTCAAATACTTTAGCGTTACAAATTTTACTTTTATAACACAATTATAATATGCCAATGTGAATCTCGCGTTACACTTCCCGACTGGAAAGTGGACGGTTAACACATTGCTTACAGCAAGACGAACGACATAATGACATCCGGTATGATACACAAGTGAATACAAGCTGACTCTGCGTTCACAACCACGTTACGCCGTAATAAGATATGACATTTGCGTGGATGTAAAGTCGTTTCGCAGTATAGTTAGTAATAAATAAATAAAAATTCTCGAAAAATATCATAAAAGAATTTTATATTAACGCATTCATAATTTTAACTATTTCAACATCTTCTTTACATACTTTTTTTACGACTTAAGTACTTAATTACTTAAATAATTAAGAGTATCTTTGTTCAACAAGACAAACAATTGCGAATTACTTTCGTTCAGCAGAAAGTAAAATCTTTTTCTGAGCAAATAGTAGACTGTTGGTTTTTACTGCTATATGAAATAAGTGTTGAAGTTGTTGCGTTTTTTTTTGTTTTAATGTAAGATAAAAAAGAACAAAAACAAAAAAAGACAAAACAAAACAAAAATTATCATGACTTTAAACGTCTCGTCGGAAAAAGCAGAACCAGAATGCACTTTGCAGGCAGCTAGTTAACCTCTCTCATTGTGCTCCGTTTATGACCGTAACAGAAAGTATGTGGCTTGCCTTTGTCGTCGTCAGGAAG